ATCGGGCTGCTACTACGCAGCTATGAACGGTGTTGATGCAGAGACCATTAAAAGATTTGGTCGATGGTCATCTGATTGTTATCTCCAATATATAAGAATGTAAACTGCTTCCATAATTATAATGACAAATTGTGTAATCGCGTTGTAGGTGTGTGGGTAGTTGGCGACAGCTACCTGGCCCGAGCGAGACCTGCGCTGGCGGACACCCTCGCAGCATGGGCCCGGTGGAGTGGCGGTCAAGGGGCTGGAAATGGCTTCATTACAGGCCGGGCAATAGATGATCTGATCGCCAACTCAGCCAGTCAACCCCGATCCTAGTATTACACCTGGGCTCAAACGACCTCGGAGTCACCACCGGGCCGGAGCTCTTTGAGCAGATCATGGAGCAGCTACTCTACACTCGCGGTTAAGCGGCTTCCCACACCAGGCTCCTTTGGTCCAATATGTTGCCGCTGATGTTGCTGGCGATATGCTAGAGATATTAAGTGTTGAACTTGGCCGTAAGAAGCTGAATAGGCGCGGTTGCCAATCTTATGAGGACAATCGACGGTGAAGTCATCCGCCACGAACACTTTATCTACCCAGGTGTAGATCACTACATCAGTGATGGGGTGCACTTGACTCCGCCGGTTTGCACATTTTCTGTGATGACATTCGCTGCAGCATAAGTTCATCATAAGTTGTTATCTGGTACTTTCATTGGCAAACTTGGTGGAGTCCTCCTGGTTTTTTTTCCCACCATAATTTTAACATTATCAATTCTACCAAAACATAACATGACATAACACTTTCTACCTTATTTCGTGTGGATGGCGCAGCACTTTCAGTGCTCGGTGGCGTAGGTTCGGGCGGACGCTGGACCGATCTCTCGCCGATTTATACTTCGCTGCTGCTGCTAGGCTGTCTATTTTCCAATAGAGGCTACTTCCAACCTTCGGGTGGTCAAAATAGCATTTGAAACATCGCCGCTACCTGTCTCGCCTGTTCAGGGTCCAACGGAGAGCAGGTCATTAAATCGCTTTTGGCTTGGCCCCAAGGCCCGCCTTCGCCTTCCACACCTGGCCTTTGTAAATCCAATTCTCTACTTTGTTATCAATTTGTTTTTACATAGTTTATAGGAGAGTCGGACAATAATTCCATTTAGCATTATTTGGCTAAATGTCGCTATTGTAATGCCGCCATGCATTTCCTGAATTCCTACAATTATTCTCATTCTACTGACAATTACATATAATTTCTTTACAGCAAACACAATAAATTCCTCTTAACAAAACACGTGCTCATGTTTACAAACACCGAAAGATGTGCATTTCATCACATCCGCTTACATTACGCCATCACACAATTGGAGACGCCATCATAATATTTATATTACGCCACTTTCTTTCATTCCTCCGCCATTTTAGATAACCGGCCATTTTATCAACCACTTGTTAGCAATTTCATTTTATCATCTTTTTCTCAGTTTCCTCCCACCCTCCCCATGTTTGCCAAACCGCTTTATTCTATCACTTTCCTGCAACTTAAATCAGGCTTCTTCTCAAACTTCCAAATACTGCAACTGTTATCAACCCTATCTCTATGTTACATAACCTTAATCTCTTTACCCACAGATTTCATCCTAAATGGTTTAACTTTGTTGTACAATTAGAGTGAATTAAAATGACGCCAGGTGGCGAGGTTCGGGCGGCTGGGACCGATCTCTCGCCGATTTATACTTCGCTGCTGCTGCTAGGCTGTCTATTTTCCAATAGAGGCTACTTCCAACCTTCGGGTGGTCAAAATAGCATTTGAAACATCGCCGCTACCTGTCTCGTCTGTTCAGGGTCCAACGGAGAGCAGGTCATTAAATCGCTTTGGCTTGGCCCTGCGTCCGCCTTCGCCTTCCACACCTGGCCTTTGTAAATCCAATTCTCTACTTTGTTATCAATTTGTTTTTACATAGTTTATAGGAGAGTCGGACAATAATGCTATATATATTTCTTATGGAACAATGTTCCGTTCGTATCCCCAATCACTGTCGGCCCATAAGTTTGGTCAGGCAATTGAAATTGCATGCAATACAGTGATTACCATTCCCTTGCTGTAACCTGTGTATGGTGGTATAAACCTACACATGCTATTTGTCATCATTCACTTGATGGTCAGTTAATGAATTTAAGACAGGTATAATTAGTGATAACACCTGAGCATGGGAGTGCAGCAAGATGAATTATCAGCTAAGTTACAAAAACAAACATCCATCTAAGGATTAACCAATAACACACTGATCAATTACTTTTATCTTGCACGACCGAATTGTCAACACATGTATGTGGATTTACTCATCTATATATAGGTGCTGCTTTTATTTCCTTTCTCGCGGTAAACACGCTTTTCTGCAAATCGCCGATTGTCAAAGCGGTTTAATACATTAATATGATATGAATTGTTTGTGTTATTTTTTCAGCCGATATCCGTAAGTACCGCGAGAATAGGAAACGCCTTCCTACTGAATACACCCTGTCGTAAAGTGCCTGTGTAAAAACAACATCCTTCATTCAAAGTATTAACTGATAATTGATTGCTCATTATTGGCTAACTAAACTACTTTTTTAAAGAATGGCAGCTATTATGCAATTAGTTGCCAGGTATGCTATCTTGGGTGACCAATGACCAATGACTATACACCAATGTGAAAAACCTGAAACGATATTTCACTTTTTCACATATTAAACTGTTAAAAGACACATGACATGGAACAGGATTCTATGTCAGCTGCAGATGAATGGAATATCGTTCCTTTATGTGGATATTGATGGATACATTCCTCGAACGAGGTAATAGCCTGACATCGTTGCTATAACTTTAGTCTGTTTTAAAAAAATAATAACAAAAGCAACAACCAGTCCACGGAAATTGCTCTGGATCAGTGCCCCTTTAATGATACAGTGGTGTGGTTAAAGCATTTACCTCGGTTCACATTTCTATTGCTAGAATATTGTTAAAAGCGGCGATTGGTGATTGTATCACAACTAATTGTATCAACTGTTGGTTTCCAACCTAATGTGTTATACTATGATACATCAGTGTATCAAACCTAGTGAGGCAGAATGAGTGTACCCAAATACTGGGTCATTGCCTTGGTTCCATTTGTTTCAGGAGAGTGAGTTTAGTTTTACACCAGTTTTTACCCCTAATCCAGGAATATCACAGCAGGTGGACACTAGAAATGGGCTTCACACATTGTTGCTATGTGGAGACTCGAACCCGGAACTTTGACATTATGAGTGAAAACAACTTGTTTCAGGAAACAGGGTTCTAAATACATGTATAACAATTCAGACAAGAAGTAGATCAGGAGGATTTGTAAACTTTAACACCGGGTTAAAATACAGCATCAAACTAACAACAAACAGCTTGATAGTTAAAATATATCAATAAATAGATAAAAATACACAAAAAACAAACATGCTGCTTTAAAATTTCAAGCAATACATTCACAATACCTGAGAGTCTTGAAATTTGTATTTCATTGAGAGTGCTGCTTTTGAATTAGCACTTTCTGCATTTTAATTGTTCTATCCAGTATAGTCACTACTAAATGTGCTAATAGTTTCCAGGAATGATTTGGGAAAAGTTTTCATGTCATTTTCAATAACCTTTGTCAGCTGTGATACCTCAACATCACATCAAATGGAAAAGCTTAACATATGTTAATTTGTTTTGAGCATGGTGAGTGAGTGAGGTAAAACTTATACAGATACATTCATAAGTACAGTAGCAGCCAAGTCTCATGGCTTCAGATGAAAATGTATGTGTACTGGCCAATACACTATGTGTATAAATCTTACATATATATCACAGATAGACTAACAGGGTCACATTTCAAAACTAAAGTGTTTTTGCCGTTTTAATTTAAACTGTATACCTGGTAGGTACAACTTATATAAATATCACAGCAATATTGACATCTGTGTCACAAGAGGTCCCATGACAAATCTGTAGTGTATTGACCAACACAAATAAAACAGTATGGATATAACTCCTGTATATCACAGCTGGTATCAATGAGGTAGAAACAGGAACTGTTTCAATAAAATATATGTGTGAAATAAAATGTATGGACTTAATTCATTAGTACATGAGGCACAATAAAAATGATGGTCAGGTAGGATGTAAAGAAGTTCAGGAATCTAATAATTTATTATGGAAAGATGAAAATATAAACATGAAAATATTGCTGAAGGTTCACCCTTTACGTGTATCACTTCCAAGTGTCATTCAAAGACTTTCAAATATGGCTACATTTGATTCAGCAGCTATTGAATTAAAACAATTGTAAAAATAAAATAAAAAATATGACAGACAATGAATTACAATCCAACAACCTGCCAGAATTGTTATTTTTCACTCATACACACATGCACAGAATGGACCCTATCAATGTGAAATTGGTCTATGAGCATGACAGAGGTAGTTAAAGGTTAAACCAGAGTCACTTGAAGATATTTAAGCTGAAAAGATGTTTGCAATCAAAACTTTTTATTCAATAAGAAGTCTGTATTTAGACAGAAATGCTTTCAAAAATGTATTTTTAATATTTGTAGTTAATGATTCTCAAGATTTCTTACGCTTAAAGAATGCATTAACAAGCATAGTTTGTTTTCTGACAGTATTTTCAGATAATCACAACCAAATTTTTCAAAACACAACAAGCCTAAAATATGTTTATCGTAATGCCCTCTTAAGTTCTGACTGCTTGTGTATAAAGATACATAAATGTGAATAACTACATGTCTTTGGCTTGCTGTTTCACAAGGTAGTCAGCAATATTCCAGCTGTTCGCTGGCAGTTTTTTTAACGCCATACTCAGCAATATTCCAGCTATATGGCAGTGGACTGTAAATAATCATGTCTGGAACAGACAATCCAGTGACCAACAGCATGAGCATCAATCTACACAATTGGGATATGATGACATGTGTCAACCAAGTTGGCGAAGTCTGACCACCTGATCCCGTTGGTCGCCTTTTAAGACAAATGTTGGTTGCTGGAGACCAATTTTCACCTGGATCTTCATGGGTAATTCCAGCTGTATTATGGCCAGCTGTAGTAAGACAAACCAGGGATTGATATCATGACCAACATCACATGCCTTCAGGGTGTGATGACACATAACCAACCAAGTCCTAAACACAGAACCAGTTAAACTACTGTAAATCTTACACCGAGCAACAGACTACTGGTGGTCCTCTACCAACCTTTACAAAATGACACAAAAGCAACTCCGTTTTAGTTTTCTTGCATCAGCAATGAAACCTGCTTGTATCATGAAGTCAGCATCTTCATGAGTGCTGCCTGCATAACTGTAAGTGTCCACTGAGTTGACTCTATCTCTTGTTACCTCCTCTGATGTGTTATCACCCATCTGTATTGCCTTTGAGAACTGCAGACAATTAAAACTCTCATAACATTCAAACCTACAATAAACACACAGTAAGAAATACTAACCCCAAATGAAGGAAAAAGAGGTTGGCTTATATCTACAGGTTACGATTTCTTCTGGTGGTAAGAGAACAACATTGTATGGCTTTGCATGAACGAACAAGAGAAAATGACTTTGTCAGTGAAGATGTCAAATTTGCAAATAAACATAACTAGACGATTACTTACCTTTTCAGTTCTTCTTATTTTTTGCTAGGCATTGTATTATATGCAGGGATTAAGATTACCGAGTGTATTTGTCTCATATACAGAGCTGGAAATAACAATCAGCTATGCACATGTTTCCTCACAATCTACTGGTGGTTTAGGTAAAACATGCCAATAATATAACGAGTGGAATTCCGATGCAGTGGTCAGAAAAATGTAATTTTTTAGAGTAAAATTGATATTTTATACTTATCCTGACTCATGCTCTTTTGCTTGTCTTCTTCTTCTTGCGAACATAGTGGAACACTTGTATCTCCTTAATTGAAGCTCCCTTCAATGTAAAATCACTAACTGGTACTCACCAAGAGTTGCCTCCCTTGCCCTTTGCACGGGAACAGGTGTCGCCACCCTCTGGCCTCATGCTTCACTCTCTCCTGATTTTGCGAGCCCAACACTTGAATTTACAGGGAAATCCAAAGTGTTATGTGGGAGGAGGATTTATTCATGAGTCAGGATAAGTATAAAATATCAATTTTACTCTAAAAAATTACATATTTTTCCTTATCCTGACTCATGTTCTTTTGTTTGTAGAATCCTAACGGAAACGGAGGTGGGAAAAAAAACAGAATACTTTGGATTTATAAAATTAGTGATTTATATAGATATAACTGTAATAACCCCCTAACGGGAACTTCATAATGGCATAGACTTAGGATATTTCCTCTATTATAAGCCATAGGTTAAATATTGCCATACTGGGGTATTACAATAATAATATACTATGATATTATCAAATAAAGATATAAAAGCGACTCTGATAGAGAAGCTATACAACTGAACATAATCATCAGTAAAAGCTTAAGGGTGAGTAGACCTAAGCTAAGTATATGCATAGCTCTAGAACTCCGTAGAATTATAAGCTAGATAATGCATGTATCAATTATGCATATTAATCTCGTGAAGACTATGTGTTAACGCTACGGGACTGTCAACTGCTGTGCGAGGACCAAGGGACCGAAATGGTGAATACCTGAGACGCCCTCGGTGGTGATATCTCTCAGATAGTGATTAGCAAACACCATGTTAGATTTCCAAAAGTATCCTTCCATAATTGTATTCAATGAACAGTTACCGTAGGGCTTAGAGAGTGGAAGCCAATGCCCTGATCTCATGGGGATTTGATGCTGTTGGAGGGTCCAGGCCTGCTGCCTTGTAGGCTGGCATGACAGTTCTTATCCATATAGATATGGTGGTAATGAGAGACTTCTGTCTGAGTTGTTGCCGATAAGGGATGAATAATCGCTTGAGAAATCTTCACCTTTGTTTTGGAACGTCGTTAAATAGATTTTGAGAGCTCTGACTGGGCATAGAGATAAGTCCAGTGTATCTTGAGATCCGAGAATCGAGGATAGTGCAGGGATATGGAATAACCTGTCTGGTTGACCTGGTAGTTGATTTTTGGCTGATGAAATCCCATCTTAATCCCAGGTGTGCTGTGTTTTGATTGTCATCAAACTGTATCCTCTCATAATCTAGTGCGTGAATTTCTGACATCCTGGCTGCCGCGGGCTAGAGATAACAGGAAAAGCGCTTTCTGTGAGAGAAATTCAAAGGTTGTCGATTCCAACGGTTCATAAGCCTCACTTGTGAGGTGTTGTAGCACTATATTCAGATCCCAAGCTGGGCGTGGAACTTCCGCTTTGGTCCTCCAATCGAAAGCACGTGAGTAAGGCCAGTAACTCTGGAGTCTTAGTCAATTTGACACCCGCTCTCATAGTAATCACAGAACTAAGCGCAAGATATGTTGACAATGTCGAGCCTTTTAAATGTTTGTTTTGTCGTAAGTAACACAAATAATCTGCCACTTGTGGATGAGTAGCATCTCTCGCTGTAAATCCCTTTATTTGCTGCGTAATTTTCAAACTGTGCCACTTGTCGCCGTTATTTACGCGGTAGAATTGCGTAAGGCAAGCGTGACCGCTTTTGCACTCTGGTAGAATATCCTCTTGTTTAAACACATTTTAATACAGTCCATATGTGAAGTTGGAATACTTCTGGGCTTCCGCACCTGTTTGGTGTGTGGATGTACTAATAGATTTGAGCTTTGGGTAGCTCTAGTGTCGGTTGACCGATTTCTTGAATTAGAATGGGAAACCACGCTCTGGCTGGCCAGTAGGGCGGACCAAAGTGAGTTGGAGGCTCTGTGTTTGTCTGATTTTCTGTAACACTTGAGGTATTATTGCTGGCGGGCGAAACGAAAGCACGCATTGAGGCCTTCCCAGGATATGCTTAGAGCCGCCCGCTGCCCATGCTTGTGGGTCTGGGACTGGTGACACGAATGTCGGTAGCTGATTGTTGAAGCGCAGTGGCAAATAGATCTACTAGCGGCGCTCCTATTTGCTTGATTATCTGTGCAAAGATTTCTGTATTGAGCATCCATTCTGTCGGTGACGGTTGATGTGGCCGCTGAGAGTCGCCTGCTAGTACATTCTCTGCTCCGGGAAAGTGACATGCTCTGACATGTAGGTTGAGATCGTGGATTAGATCGAACAGTTGAAAGCTTAAAGTCAATAGGTTCAGTGATCTCGCTGAGCCTTGTTTGTTCACATAGAACGCCACTGTCGAAGTTGTCGGTATGGATCATTAGGTGCGATTCTGTAGAATGGTGCTCCAATGAAGTATGGCGCTGATTACAGCTTTCATCTCTAACATGTTTATATGGAGCTTGCTTTCTTGCTGATTCCATAACCCTGATGCCGTCCGGTTGGCGAGATGAGCTCCCCAACCTTGGAGTGAGGCGTCTAAATATAGATGGGTTTTGAATTCCTGCTCTGCTAAACAAATACCTTCGCAGACATTCGACCTCCTGGTCCACCATAGTAGATGAGGTCTGAGATGTTTCGGTAGACTGAATGGTTGTAGGTCGTCGAGATGTGCATTGATAAAGACCTGTAACGGACGTAACTGTAATCTGCCTCTGACTGTCATGTCTTGGGCTGATGTGAGGAGACCCAACAGGCTCTGCCAATGTCGTAGTGGTAACGGAGAGAGTAGAGCTGGCGGAATGGTCTGTTGGATCTTGAGCCAAAGGTCTTCTGGTAATGACGACGATACGGTTGAGAGTCGTGATAAATCGAATGCCTAGGAACTGCAGATCTTGGCGATGGTACTAGGTCCGACTTGAGTAAGTTTACTAACCATCCTAGCTGTGTTAGTAGCTTTATGATGTAGTTTAACTGTAGTTTGAGACGCTGTGGATCTTGATCTACTTGTATCCCGTCAGTCGAGGTAGAACGCACTCGCGTAGCCCTAGACGATGTAGATAGGTGACAATAGGTTTCGTTATCCTCGTGGAATAGCCAGGGGCTGATGATATTCAATGGGAGTACTTTCCATTGGTAATGTAGCCCGTCCAGTGTAAATCGTGAGGTATTTCCTGGATTCGGGATGTATCGGGGATGTGTAGATATGCGCCTTGCAGATCTATACTGGCCATGTAATCCATGGGGCTTAATCAACTGCCGTGAACTGAGGTAGATGTATCATGCGAAACTTTGGTGGTTTATGAGATAATTCCTGCTGAAAAGCTCATGTTGTAAATGAGTCTGTATTTCTCCTGGGAGTTTTTCTTGGGTACTAGGAAAACTGGGGAGTAGCAGCCTGGTTCGATGTTTACTTGATCTAGTACTTCTATGGCCTGCTAGGTTAGGAGTGATGTAACAGCCTCTCTTAACTTTGGTAGTTGTTGTGCCTGTAAGCCGAACTTGTGAGGGTTGACTGTCAGCGGAGGCGTGGCCTGTAGTGGGATACTGAAAATCTGCGTGTTGAAGAATGTTGGAGACATAAGGGTCTTGTAACATTCCCCAGTTCTCCCAGTGTAGTTGGAGGCGCCCACCCACTTGTGACGGTTGTACTGGAACGGCTGGGGTGGAAGACTCCAGTCGTTCAACCTGTCTTTCAGCTGCTTATAGTTGCGGGAACCTCTGGGTGTCCTGCCTCTTCCTGACCCTCCTCTATAGTTGCCATATGGGCTTACTTAAAAGAATCTTTCCCTGGCGCTGGCTATCTTCCTATCCCGCTGCTCTCTGTAGTCCAGTGAACTTAGATCTCCCTGAGTATCTTTGTGAAGTCTGCCTGATGACGCTAAGCGTGTCCATCGACTTAATCATAAGGACTTCTCTGGAATCCTTAGTGACTTCCTTGGAGACTTTGTCTATTCCTCCGCCAAAGATGGATGGGGAAGACCACGGGCTGTATAGAGTGGAGCTGTAAAGTTCTCACCCCAGCTGCAGGAAGCGAGGAGGCCTTGACGACGAGCTAAGGTCAGCGCTGCTAAAACAGATGTGAGATGATCTGTTAGGAACTGCTGGTCCTTCTTTGCATCAGTAGGGCCGAGTAGATCATCCTATCATCTTCAGAGGTCGTATTACTAAATCTGGTGATAAGTGTCTCACTGATCGCTCTAGATCTATTCTAGGCCAAAAACATGCGCCTCGGCCATGGTTTCTATCTGCACCAGCTTGGCGATCGCCAATCTTGTAGTTCTTGTTCTTGACATCGCTGATCAGCTTGTAGTTGTCATCGATGTCTTGTGCCTTGAGGAAGGGGTCCATGTTGTGCGTTGAGAACTTCTTGGCGGAAAGTTCGGCAGATGTGGTGTCTGAACTTCTCGTGGCTTTATGGAAGGCTGTATCTAGATTCTGTGGCACCGCAGCAATCGGGTCGATCGGAGGTAGAGTGACGGCCGCCTGCATCGCCTTCCTTCATCAGGTATGTCTGCGCCGAAGTTGCCACTCTTGGACGGTGAAGAGAGATCTAGGTTGTTTACCATCCAATATCGTGATCTCAGCGCCTGAGAAAATGATGCCTCCATCATCTTCTGTCCCAGCATCGGTGATGAGAGGTTGATGCTCTTCTGATGGTGAACTGTGTGCTGCTATCTCTATGTCGGGTGACGCTTGGGGAGACCTGACTGTAGACTTGTGTGCAGACTTGTGTGGTGACCTGCGAGGTGATCGACGTGGTGATGTACGAGGAGATCGGCGTGGTAAACGGCGAGGAGATCGTCTTGGTGATCTGCGTCTATGGGATGACCTTCTCGGAGACCTGCGAGGAGAATGTTGATAGCTTCGCGAAGCTCTTGTGTAGTCCCTCGATGTCCTTCTGGACGATGACGATCTGGGGTCAGGTGTCCTTCGTGAAGGCCTTCGTGAAGCTTCCTCTGCGTCCGGACCTGGGGAACGGCGACTTGACCTCCGTGACGGCTTCCGTGAGGTCTGGTGGTCTGAGTCCGCATCTAAGGATGAGGCCGAGGAAGGTGATGATCTCTCCCGCCTTCGCTAAGGCTGTACATCTGGGTCCTTCGTCGAGGTGGTTTGTGACTTCCTTCTCGGCGTGGCTTCGCGTGGCTGCTACGCTGACGGGGGTGCCTCTGGGGTGTCGCCTGCTTTGCTCAGGCCCTGGGCTGGCTGCTTCTCCCGCCTCTGTAGTGGCCTCCATCATGGTCATGATCTGCCGCAACAGCTCATCTGGGATGGTCTGGCGACGAAGTAGTCGGTGCCCTCTCTGCGATGTTAGCGGCTGGCCCTCAGGGGAGTCGTCTGACATCAGTGTAGAGACATCAGGCTGCATGGCGATCTCTGCTGATGTCACTGTAGCTGTCAACGGCCGCTTCTTGTGGCGTCGTCCAGGGATGATGATCGGCTGATCATCGTAGAGGCCCAGTTCGGCGGCTGGAACGATCTCGGCTGAGAAAGTTCTTGACGACTTCGTGACTTTCCCTTGGAGGTAGACGCTGCCCTGGGGGTACGGGTCTGCGCTTGAGAAGACGCCGAGGCCCTCTTGGACTTTGGCTGCGATGACGGGACGCCTGGGGAGGCAGGACACTTCTTGAGGCGGCGGACTGCATCCCACGCCCTCTTCGAAGGGTCTCTAGCGAACACCAGACGGGGAGGGTCGATCGACAGCAGCTGACTGGATAGGGAACTGGATGTATCGGCCATGTCTAACCCTTTGTTTGCGCGACCTATCTGCGTACGCCTCAAGACGCAAAGATGATATTTATGAAAAGCAGAATTAGCTAGATTAATACAGTAACTGCAACGTGAATCAAACGCGACAAGCATGAAGCACAACTAGGGCATAACACATGCGGGTCAGCAACAGAAAACGTAATCTACAAATAGTACAGATTTTCATCAACGTAATACTAGCTGAACAATCACTTAACTCACGGAATAAACAGTAGAAATACGATTAATTATCAATACATATTAATGAAGGATACTAGCTATACCTCTATAGTAACCTATAAGAGGTAACTAACTAAGAAAAACCAAAGGATATAGTGTGTAAGGAGACACAGGCGCTCTCACATCCTGCTCACTGGGCGAAGAAGGAGAGAGTGAAGCATGAGGCCAGAGGGTGGCGACACCTGTTCCCGCGCAAAGGGCAAGGGAGGCAACTCTTGGTGAGTACCAATTAGTGATTTTACATTGAAGGGAGCTTCAATTAAGGAGATACAAGTGTTCCACTATGTTCGCAAGAAGAAGAAGACAAGCAAAAGAGCATGAGTCAGGATAAGGAAAAATATATAGTATCTGAAACTATCATTTTACCAAGAGAAATATATTCTATCATTGTGTCATTTTAAGTGCAAGCTTGTTCTATAAATGTAAAGAACATGTTTTATTAACTGATCATGTAACAACAAGATTTAGTTGCATAATTCTATACAGATTTGTTGATACTCTATTTCTGATGAATGATCACGATGAAGATGAACGAAAGCTGGTGGTTAATATTATGTATAGAAAATACCATTTTGATTTTATGGGTCAAGTTAGGACTTCAGCTTATCTGTGAGGTAGGCTTATCTATGGTAATATATGGTAAACCACATTTAAATGTGGAAACTCCTTGTATATGAAATTACAAGGACAGATTCGTTGAAGATGGCTGCAAAGCTATGATCACAGATGGATGCAATTTTGTGGAAAAATTTTGGTAACTATGTAAAACTAAAGGTGTCATAGGTGTAGAATCATTATTTGCAAATGGTCAAAATTGTTAAAGGTGCAAAATAACAAAAGCCCACAAGGATCAAACAATACCTATTTTTAATATAAAAGCAGCATGTTGATTTACTATCTAGTATCTAGTAGATGTACCTGTTCAACCTGCACAGTGTCTCCAGCACCGCCTGTGGTGAGGCTGCCAATGTTGAGGATGTTTAAGATACTCATTCTGTGTGTGTAACAAGACCTGAAATGGAGTGAGATGAACATGAGAAAATTATATCTCCACTGTATGCCATGTCAGTGAAAGGGTATTTATTATGATAGAATGGAGATGTAATAGCCCGGATAACCAAGCAGTGAGGGAAGGTAATGTTCAGCCAAAGGTATGAGGCTAGAAGAAATCACATTAGGCTAATAACATTCAATTCTACTAGCCTGTAATATTTGGGACAAATGCTATAAACTATCTATTGTGATCCCAAGTAACACTGTACAATCACCCTGCTTAATATCTGGCACAATATTTTGTGATTGAAATTAAAACATCTTCTAACATGTAACTTTCATCACTAGTCCTGTGGACTTGTTTCCATTTCTGCCACGCATGAAGCAGTGAATGAAAGCTAATATAGACAGAGGATAAACTGGCAAACAAAGATTTGCAATTTTTCTCTTTCTACACTTCAGGGCCCAGTTTCACAAAGTAATGAGACTTATGACTGTCTTAATGGTAAGATTGTTTTATGGAAGGGACCCAGGATGTAGCAGGTTAAAGCAGAACACCCCAATGTGATAATCAATCCTACCAGGTTCAGTGCTATATGTTGGGAAGGTGAGTTAGGGACACAAGCTGAGGAACAAAAGACTCACCGATTGTGAACAATATCCAGGATGTCAAGTGTAGCTTTGCTGAGGGCCAGACGCTCTGGGAGAGTGCAGGAGTAAGAGCCCTTCATTCCACCTCTTGTCGCAGTGAAAACTCATCAGATGCTGTTTTCGTGGGTTTCAAAGCAGTCCACAGTTTGTCATTGATGCTGACTTTGTAGTCCAGGAGATGGAGATAGTGGGGTTGGGCACTGAGGTGTGACCCTTCAATCAGGTACATCATCCTCGTAGGCTTTTCTCTCCGCTGTCTACACAGACTTAGATGAAGTTCCTCAAGGAGCTGAGCTGACTGGACATAGCCGTCTGACACTATGATGACCACAAGCTGGGACTGGTCCAACAAATGAAGTCTGTCTTTATTATTCTCACTGATGAAGGAGCAGTTCGTGCCTGGTGATGCCTGCTTTATCAACTCGGACAGAATTATAGCAAGACGGAGAGAATCATGAGAGAAGCTGAACACAATCTGCTGGTCACCTCTGTCCAATGGTTTCTCATTTGTTGACTGTTGGTTTGGGTCCTTGTAAAGGATTTCTTTTCCTTCTACTTTGTACAGTTTATCAAATTCTTGTTTACGGTAGAGCTCTTGAACTTTCTGGGGTGTGACTGAGAGAGTTGGCTGAAACACCAAGACAATGGGTATATTGGAAAGAGATGGCTCCCCATGGGATATGGTTTAGACTGACTTAAATCCTTCCTCAATATGGCACTTAAGTAGAGTTCAGATGACTGGGTAATTTGATGCAAATCTTTTCAGCTAAACATTACCTTAACAATATTTCGTCCCTTCCGTCCATTTCTGACCAAATTAATAACTTCACTCGAGATCTGCTTAAGGGCATCCTTCTGATTGGCTAAAGATCCATTTAGTATAGTCACGTGACTGAAGGTCCGAGGGATGGCCTTCAAAGGTTCTACAGAAACAGGAATCAGAGAGACATCTTCCTGAAAGGATCACACACATTTGTCATATATACTTCATCACCCATTGATACACTGAGTCAACAAGCCATGTAGTGGTGAAGTGTATCTTATTTGTGGCAGTTTCATAGAAAATACATCATGAATCATCAGGTAACTTCACTATGGAATCTACCTTGTACAACATTCTGATATGTATAACCACTGGTGAAGGGTCCATACTCTATTCTAAATGGTTTGACAGAGATGTCAACAAAATACCAGACTTTATCATCACTAAAGGAAACTAACACTTGGGCAATTCCAATACAATTTTTAACATGTCAACATCCATCATTATCAATGTTTAATCAAGTTTATAAAGAAATACAAAAAAAAAGTATACCCACATCTTTTGTCCAGTTGTAGGATAATCCTATCAGAAATTGCCACCAGTTAATACAGGAGCAAAGTGTTTTTACTTTATCTTGAATGCATCTAATACTCACCTCAAATGGAGTGAGTGAGTGAGTTTAGTTTTACGCGGCACTCAACAATATTCCAGCTATATAGCGGCAGTCTTTAATTAATCAAGTGATCAACAGCATATGCATCTACAGTGAAGCCTCGTTAATCCGGACAGTTGCGCGTTTCTCTGCAAATTCGTCCGGATTGCGAATAGTCCGGACTACTGAATCAAGACCCAAGTTGCTTCCCTTACTATTACAAAAACGACACGAATCTGGATAAAACAAATAGGCATTTAATGTAAAGCTTATTGAATTCATCACATCAATAATTTTACCGAGTGACAGCTCACTTATCATCCACGCCTTTGTATTGTGGTGTCAATCAAAGTGTACATGTACAGCATCTTCAGTCGGGAGCTTTTAATGTCTAATTAAAACAACAACCCAGTTGGCCAGTTAATTAAGTAAACATCGCCGGGAGGGTGTTGTTACGGTTCGTGAACACGACTTACAGCATCCGGACTGTGAAGCAAATTACTGTTTATTTTACTGATTGGTGACAGCTACTTAACGTCCGGTTCCGGAAATCGAATTTCCGGATTATCGAGGCAAATTATCTAGGCATAGATTGGTAACAAGCTGAAATCGTCCGGGATACGAGACATCCGGATTATCGGAGTCCGGACTAACGGGGCTTCACTGTATCTGCGCAATTGGGAACCGATGACATGTGTCAACCAAGCCAGTGAGCCTGAACACCTGATCCCATTAGTCGCCTCTTAGGACAAGCATGGGTTACTGAAGGTTCATTCTAACCCGGACCTTCACGGGTCACCTCAAATGGAAATATATGTGGGAGCAAAGTATTTTTGCTGAGTTACAGTTGGGAAAAAATAGTAAAATTAGTTCTACTTCAGATAACAAATTTGGAAAGGTTTCAGTTCAGCATCATTCACAAGTTTACATCAACTGCCTATTTTCAAAAAGAAGTTATCCGACAGCAACTTATGCTCTTTTTGTCAATGTGAAGTTGAAACAAAGAATTACATTTATACATGTAACATTTTGAAAAACTACCTTATATTTAAAACACTTTTATTCACTGAAAGAGATATTTATTGTTGCAAAATTTCTATACAAAATGGATGTTCTACAAGGAACTAACTAATGTAGATCTATATTTAGTTTTGGAGCTCAATGATTTCCATTTACTATGCACATAGTTCTTACTGACCTGAATTCACATGTCACTGTAACATACCCTATTATGGACACTAAGAAGACACTTTTATATTTGGTTTATGAATCTGCAGACCAAAAAGATCAGGAAAGAAGAATTAGTTTTGTAAATTTTTGTCAAGTATGAAGACCTATTTGACCATGAAATATATCACAAATTGTTTTCATAAATGTCTTCTGTCACAAAACATTAAGCTAAGCTAGACATGCATGGTTGAATAAATGGTCAGGATCCTGGCCATAATGACACTTCCTACCAGTGACTTCAAGGATAAATATAACCATCACTACTTTTGGGGCTCTGTTACACAAATTACTGCAGATCCGAAACCAATCCTCATTTTGATTGACTCTTACAACAAGCATGGGTGTTGTTGACCATCTTGAATACGTAAACGTCTGTATGTGTAAATTCTTACTGTAGCTAAAGCCCTCGCGAGGGCAATGTTGTATTCCTCCTGACACACATCAGATGTCATGTAGCTCATGGACAGCAGAGCCACCACGCAGCGGGCGTTGTCCATGGCGTCATACAGAGTCTGCTGCCAGAGACTTCCTGCAATGAATTGAAAGACTCTAATTTAAATGTGGGTTGAGTGACAATCATGACAACTGTTTCATTAGGTAGTCAGTATCACATGCATAAACACATTGACCAACGATCAGACCAACATAGAGTCTGACCACATCCCTCATTTAGTTAATACAATGAGAAAATAAGGAAAGGGAGGACTGTCTCTGGACCAGTTTCTCCACAGTGTTGATATATTCTCTTTTTCAAATAACAGGAATTTCAAAAAGTTTTTGATCTCAGCAGATCTGCTGACATGTTTGACAGAAACAGTGTAGTGATATAGCTAACATTACCAGTCTTGAGTTCACTCCTGTCGAAGAAGACACTGAGTGTGGAGTCTTGTTCCTGAAGGCACTGTAGTAGAGTCTGGGCAGGGGTGGGGTCTCGATGGGAGTAGGATATGAACACATCGTATGTCGTCCTGGACGGAGGTTCTGGTTTGGAGTTATCTTTGGTCTGATCAGACTCAGGCACTGAACTCAAAATTGTAATGCATGCCTGCTTGATCAGTGTCTTAGTTACCTCTCCTTCCTTCCGTTGTCTGCAATAGAAGACACTGCTTATCAACTGTAATTCCACATAACATTTTCATAGTAAAATGGTAACCTATGTACTTGCACTTCATGTGAATACATGAGGACATAGTTGGATAGCATCCTACATTAAATCCAAGTGTAAGCTATGAATGTGCAACACAGAATGGTGGATTGACATTTCAGATAATAAGGTCTAATCAATTATTTCAAGGTGTAATTATACTTTTCAAAATGTTCAAATTGACACCGACACTCAGTAAAGTTTACTGAAATCTAGAAGATAAACCCAGATGACTACCAGGTTGCACTGCATCTGGCAGAGTATACTGACATCCAGGTAGGTATATTGACATCAGCAAGGTGGGGTAGCCTAATGGTTAAAGCGTTGGCTCGTCACACCGAAGGCCTAATTTCTGGTGTCCCCCGCCTTGCTGGAATATTGCTAAAAGCGGGCGTAAAACCATACTCAGTCAGTCAGTCCAGCAAGGTATATGGACATCCAACAAGGTATACTGACATCCAACAAGGTATATTGACAGCCAGCAAGGTATACTGACATCCAGCAAGGTACATGGACATCCAACAATGTATATGGACATCCAACAAGGTAGATGGACATCCAACAAGGTATATGGACATCCAAGAAGGTATATGGACATCCAACAAGGTACACTGATATCCAGCAAGCTACACTGACATCCAGCAAACTACACTGACATCCAGCAAGGGTGTATTGACATCATGCAAAGTGTACTGACATCCAGCAAGGAATATGGACAGCCAACAAGGTATACTGACATCCAGCAAAGTATACTGACATCCAGCAAGATATATGAACATCCAGCAGGTATATTGACAGCCAACAAGGTATATTGACATCCAGCAAGGTATACTGACATCCAGGGAGGGTATACTAACATCCGACGAGATATATGGACATCCAGCAAGGTATACTGGCATCCAACAGGGTCTATTGACATCCAGTGAGGGTATATTGACATCCAGTGAGGGTATACTGACATCCAGCAAGATATATGAACATCCAGCAGTGTATACTGACATCCAACAAGGTATATTGACATCCAGCAAGGTATACTGACATCCAGCAAGATATATTGACATCCGGTGAGGGTATACTGACATCCAGCAAGATATATGAACATCCAGCAGCGTACATGTATACTGACATCCAACAAGATATATTGACATCCAGCAAGGTATACTGACATCCAGCAAGATATATTGACATCTGGTGAGGGTATACTGACATCCAGCAAGATATATGAACATCCAGCAGCGTATACTGACATCCAACAAGATATATTGACATCCAGCAAGGTATACTGACATCCAGGGAGGGTATACTAACATCCGACGAGATATATGGACATCCAGCAAGGTATACTGGCATCCAACAGGGTCTAGTGACATCCAGTGAGGGTATATTGACATCCAGTGAGGGTATATTGACATCCAGCAAGGTATATTGACATCCAGCAAGATTTATTGACATCCAGCAGAGTATACTGACATCCAGCGAGGGTATACTGACATCCAGCAAGATATATTGACATCCAGCAAGGCATACTGACATCCAGTGAGGGTATACTAACATCCGACAAGATATATTGACATCCAGCAGATATCTTGACATCCAGCAAGGTATACTGACATCCAGCGAGGGTATATTAACATCCGACGAGATATATTGACATCCAGCAAGGTATACTGACATCCAGCAAGATATATGGACATCCAGTGAGGGTATATTGACATCCAGCAAGGTATATTGACATCCAGCAAGATATATTGACATCCGGTGAGGGTATATTGACATCCAGCGAGATATACTGACATCCAGCAAGATATATGGACATCCAGTGAGGGTATATTGACATCCGGTGAGGGTATATTGACATCCAACAAGGTATACTGACATCCAGCAAGGTATACTGACATCCAGCAAGATATATGGACATCCAGCAAGGTATATTGACGTCCAGCAAGGTATACTGACATCCAGCAAGATATATGGACATCCAGCAAGATATATGGACATCCAACAGGTATATTGACAGCCAACAAGGTATACTGACATCCAGCAAGGTATATGGACATCCAGCAAGATATATGGACATCCAACAGGTATATTGACAGCCAACAAGGTATACTGACATCCAACAAGGTATACTGACATCCAGCAAGATATATGACATCCAGACATTGACATCCAGTGAGGGTAAATTGACACCCAGCAAGGTATACTGACATCCAGCAAGATATATGGACATCCAGCAAGGTATATTGACGTCCAGCAAGATATATGGACATCCAGCAAGATACATGTATATGGACATCCGGTGAGGGTATATTGACATCCAGCAAGGTATACTGACATCCAGCAAGATATATGGACATCCAGCAAGATATACTGACATCCAGCAAGATATATGGACATCCAGCAAGATATATGGACATCCGGTGAGGGTATATTGACATCCAGCAAGGTATACTGACATCCACCAAGGTATACTGACATCCAGCAAGGTATATGGACATCCAGCAAGATATATGGACATCCAACAGGTATATTGACAGCCAACAAGGTATACTGACATCCAACAAGGTATATGGACACCCAGCAAGATATATTGACATCCAGCAAGGTATATTGACGTCCAGCAAGGTATACTGACAACCAGCAAGATATATGGACATCCAGCAAGATATATGGACATCCAACAGGTATATTGACAGCCAACAAGGTATACTGACATCCAACAAGGTATACTGACATCCAGCAAGGTATACTGACATCCAGCAAGGTATACTGGCATCCAACAGGGTCTATTGACATCCAGTGAGGGTTTATTGACATCCAGTGAGGGTATATTGACATCCAGCAAGGTATATTGACATCCAGCAAGATATATGGACATCCAGTGAGGGTAAATTGACATCCAGCAAGGTATATTGACATCCAGCAAGGTATATTGATGTCCAGCAAGGTATACTGACATCCAGCAAGATATATGGACATCCAGCAAGATATATGGACATCCAGCAAGGTATATTGACATCCACCAAGGTATATTGACATCCAGCGAGGTATACTGACATCCAGCAAGATATATGGACATCCAGTGAGGGTATATTGACATCCAGTGAGAGTATATTGACATCCAGCGAGGTATACTGACATTCAGCAAGATATATGGACATCCAGTGAGGGTATATTGACATCCAGTGAGGGCATCCAGTGAGGGTATATTGACATCCAGTGAGGGTATACTGACATCCAACAAGGTATACTAACATCCGACGAGATATATTGAGATCCAGCAAGATATATGGACATCCAGCAAGATATATGGACATCCAACAAGGTATATTGACATCCAACAAGATATATAGACATCCAGCAAGGTATATTGACATCTGAAAAGGTGTACTGATTATAAGCAAGGTGTACAGACCTGCACTCCACATACTGCACCAGCTGTAAGTAGGAAGGTATGGAGCTGACAGTTTCCACATACATGGGGCAGATTTGGTGGTGTATTGACAGCCGGTTCACACACAGAGCTATGTTGAACTGTTCCAGACATTCCTGACTCTCCACATATGCAGGGGTCAAGATGGTGATGATTCTGAAACAGGAATAGTGCAGAGCTGTACAACAAGTGGTGGTAGTGGTGGAATTGGGTTCAACGTCATGCTTGAGAATATTTCGGCTCATATGACGACGTGCATGCGTGTGTATGTGTATGTGTGGCTGCTTGTACTAGCCCAGACTGAAGCTGGTTTTATAGTGCTAGCCCACTGAGATACCATGCCGCAGTGAAGCATGAATACCCCACTCAGACACATTATACCAACTCCAAGCTGACCAGTCCTTGTTGTACCCATTAATGCCGAGCACCAGGCAGGGACCAACAAGTACCATATGTTAACGTCTTTTTGGTATGATGCGGTTGGGGATCGAAACCGCGACCTTCTGCACTCTGGGCGGCTGCTCTAACCACTACACCACGGAGGCGGTGTGTACCGAATGAAAAATGAGAAAATCTTTACACTGCATCTGATTCTCCCTGGATACAGTGAGTGAGAAGGTGTGGTCATAATACAACACCTCATGATTATTTCCAAGTTGGAGCAAGGTGTGTTTTAGAAAACACTAACACCATTGGGCAATTTGAGCCCCCATAGGGAGTACACTTCACCTTTATTGCAATTGGGTATGGGGAATACACTCACACCACTTGGAAACCGGTGCACTAGTTTACAGTTGGGTACAGGGAGAACATTAATACCACAGCTGGGCCTCTATTTCACAGTTGTGTACAGCATGCCTAATGAGTACGCCTCTATAAGCCCTATAATAGCATTGGGTTCATGATTAAGAAATACAGCTCGCAAGCGTCCTCGTACTTTAACCATAATAGTTCAGGGCGAAAGTGTGTTTTATTACACTATACATGGTGGTAGAGCGAACTGTATTTCGTTTCTAAGATGCCAAATTTAATACTTTCTAAGGATAATTACGATTAATTTAAGGCAGAAAACAAACGACGGTGTCGGTGACCTAAATTAAGAATCCTCGCACAGGCCAACTGGCTCGCTGTTCTATTTATGTGTCTGCCCCCCTATGTTAAGACGAACGTTACCAGAAAAAAACAAATGATAACAGTTTGATGACAGTTACGTTCGGATTATGTAATTTTCTGAATAAAATTGATATTTTATACTTATCCTGACTCATGCTCTTTTGCTTGTCTTCTTCTTCTTGCGAACATAGTGGAACACTTGTATCTCCCTAATTGAAGCTCCCTTCAATGTAAAATCACTAATTAGTACTCACCAAGAGTTGCTCCCCTTTCCGAAATGCGTGGGAAAGACGGCGGCACCTCTTCCCACATGCTTCACTCTCTCCTTCTTCGCCCAGTGAGCAGAATGTGAGAGCGCCTGTGTCTCCCTACGGCACTATATCCTTTGATTATTCTTATTTAGTTACCTCTTCTAGTCATCTATAGAGGTTTAGCTAGTATCCTTCAACATTATGATTTAATATTTATTCGTATTTTCTGCTGTTTATTCACGGGACGCCGTGATTGTTCAGTAGTTTACGTTGATGAAAATCTGTACTGTTTGCAGGTTACATTTTTCTGCTGCTGATCCGCATTTGATATGCCCTAGCTGTACTGTACCATGTTCATTTGACAAGCATGAGTCAGGATAAGGAAAAATAAATATCTTTTCTGAATTATTTTAAATACATCTGTCATTAACGTAAACCATATGGGGCAATATGAACATCGCATTTCTACTACCAACGTAAGTTTAGATCAGTACATCCAGATGAACTGAGTAGTCAAGCGACATTCCATGATTGCATTGTGGGAATGTAAACATTGCGAACGTTACCGTGTACTTGTGAGTCGAATTGACACATTTTTACCGTTGTAAAACATAAATGTAATGTTTCCACCAGTGATGTTAGCTGCGTGAAGCAACTGCAAACCAAGAAACGGGATGCAACGGAGTAGTTTACTGTAGGAGGCTGTACGAGGCGATGACAACTGACATGCATCGTGACGTCGCTTACATTGTGACGTAATGTAAATTGGTTCGATTACGAGGGGGCACACTAGAATGGCGCAGTGGCGGCAAAACGTCATTTAATTGTTACGTCATCAAAAAAGTATACCTTTATTGTCTGATAGTCATCTTAGAAAGCACATTAAACCACTCAGCAAACTATCTCACATCTGGGCACAAAACATACACCACTGGAATGTCTGGACTTGTTTTACAACTGGGCATAAGAAGTACACCACTAGAACACCTGGACTGGTTTTACAGCTGGGCACTAGAAATACACCACCAGAATAAGTCAATGTTTTACAGTTGGGTACAGGGTATATGCTCACACCACTGGGCTATATCTATATTGGGTGTACACTGCCACCAGTTGTCCACATTAACACACAGAGAACACAAGGAGAACTGCAAGCTGTGAGATTGTGAAGAATCCTCACCTGACCGACTGCATCATCACATGGAAGACATTCTCCTGCCACACCTCATTGACTGAGAACTGGAGCTGTTGCTTGTACACCTTCAGGCCAGGGCGGATCTCTGTCAGCTGAGTAGCAACTGTGTCAGCCCAATGGTTGTCATGGTTACTGTGAGATATGAACACATCAATACTCTGATCCTCTTCTGGCTGCAAATGTGAAACTCATGATGAGATAAATCTGTAATATTCAGTATGAAAATGACGGCTGAACGATGACTGACATGGTCAAAAAATGGTTGTTGCATTTCATTGTGATATTTATTGTAGTACATGAGGATTAATGTGCAACATGTTTGTTATGCTAGGATGCTAAGCACCTACTAAGCATGATATGATGGTTCGTGTGAGTTTTGTGAGGTCCCGAGACAATTATGCTCTTCTCACCAGTGTGAGATTCTGTGTTTCCCAGGTTTTCTTCAGATGCTTGAACAGTTCCACAGCCTGTATGTCCCTCATGCTGAGATCTGCTGCATAAAGGACAATCTTCAGACATCTTAGAGGGAGACCTGCCTTGATCCAGTGACAAGCTCCATCTACCATTGCCTTCAGCACTGCCACTCGGGACTGGCCCTAGAATACACAATGAATTTCGCTTATGTCAATCTTTACCATGAAGGAAGATTAGGTTCTTGAGAGGCATTTAGAAGTTGGTGTTCATGTAAAACGCAAATATTACGGATGACATCTTCTTCTTTATTGTATATCACAATATGATTTTCATATTGTATATGCCCATGATCTGTACATCTCACTCTTTCATCTCCCGTTTCTTATTCAGTTTATTGTATATACATGCAGCACTGTCTTCTTGTACATTTAGCATATATACTCATTGATGTATCTTGTTTGTTACAATTCACCTGACAAAGGAGCAAGGAACAGCCCAGAAACGTTGTGATATACAATAAAGAAGAAGTTGTCATCCATAATATTTGTGTTTTACATGAAGGAAGATTGCAGCAAAACATAAAAATGTAACATAACCTTCCCGACTCATACTCATTGCTGGTGTCTTCTCATTCACCAAATATAGCGGAAACATCCTGTGTGAGTTCCCCAAGAACAAAAAACATCTCACCTTAAAGCACTCTTGTTCCATGCAGTCTAATGGTGGGAATGTAAAGGTATGCATCCTGAAGGACAATGTTCTGTAGAAGACCAGTCTGTTCTATCTCCATATATAATTGTGGTAAATGAATCATTCCAAACTTGTCTGGCTTTTGACAGTTCAATTTGTTGAACTGATTCACATTGCAAATTGAACAAAACTTTTCGTTTGAATTATATTGCAGGACCAAGTATATCAGTGAATGAAAGACTGAAGTTAGGGCATCTTGCTGTATTGTATTTCCTGCTGCTTCAGACAGAAGTGTGTTGACTGCTGAGAGAAGGAGGTTCTTCACACTATTGCACAGTATCCCTTCTTTAAAAAAAAAATGCATCATCCAGGATGCCGCAATTCTTCTAGTATTTCGCCAACCTCCTACCAAGGTGATTGTTGTAATTAAACAGCTAGGGAAGGAATGTGAGTGAGTTTAGTTTTACTTTAGAATTTCATCAGCAAGCACTCTATGAAGACTACTGATTTAATGCAAATTTAATCTACTGATGAAGAGTACGTCAAACTCGACTATGGGCTAAGATGGCACCTTTGGTCTTTGCTTGAATGTGATTGTCTGTGTTTGATGTTTTGTGAATTGTGACTAATGGACAAGGATAACACTTCACTTATTCTGCTTCATGACTTACATCAATATCCTTCAGCTAGAATTAGGCTTCCGACTGACCAGCAGGATTTGTGATCAGTTTACTTGCTTCCAATTATCTCAGTGTTTCCACAGATGCGACTCACACACAAGCATTCAGCTACAAGAACAATACTGACTAAACACAAGGACCCCACTCCCCTCACCACCACAGAAATTAACCCTGAGGGTCCAGATCCATGGTGGTATCTTCCACACACACACCATCCAACATTACCCCCATCCAATATCCCTCCCACCCCCACCCCTATGGTGCATAGCGCTGCAGCATTGTGCACATTCATCATGTTCATCTTTGTGAATCAGTATCAGGTGTATAATCCTCAAATTTCTGGTGGGTGCTCTTGAATGAGTGAGTGAGTTTAGTTTTACGCCGCACTCAGCAATATTCCAGCTATATGGCATCGGTCTGTAAATAAACGAGTATGGACCAAACAATCCAGTGATCAACAGCATGATCTGCGCAATTTGGAATCAATGACATGTGTCAACCAAGCCAGCGAGCTTGACCACCCGATCCCGTTAGTCGTCTCTTACGACAAGCATGGGTTACTGAAGATTCATTCTAACCCAGACCTTCATGGGTCACTAGGGAAGGGAGATCTGAGTCCCAATATATATTTCCACAGTAAGGGCTTGGTCTAAAGATCCGACCACTGGGAACAGACTATCAACCCTGATAAAAAGTGGTGTGAATTCAGCTGAGGTAGAGCTGATGTGATCCTGATTTTTCTTCTGACAAACCACAACAGAGAGAAAGAAACTCTCTTAGTCATATGACACCTCAAAGTAATTACTACTGTTGCATTGACAGAGTGTGAGATAGCAAGGCCAAAGAAGGATTGTCTGGTGGAAGTATCTAACTGAACCACTTATATATTGTCTATCTAAATATGTTTTGCTCTTGAAATCTGACAAGAAAGAAAAAATTCATTCACTTCTGGGGCCTTGAAGAAGAGCTGACATGCCTTGCCTGGGAAACTTCTTGGAATCGGATTTGGTAATCTCTGGGTCCATGTAGCCTCAGCAAAGGAAGTGTCTAGAATCTTTGCTACCTGAGAGATTGGATTAATCTGTGGAATGGTCAACAGGAAAGGAATCCCTACTAGGCAAAGAGATGCCAGTGAGTGAGTGAGTGAGTATGGTTATACAGCTGCTTTTAGCACTATTCCAGCAATATCATGATGGGGAAACCAGAAATGGGCTTCACACATTGTACCCATATGGAAAATCAAACCCAAGTCTTTGGCATGACAAGTGAACACTTTAACCACTAGGCTACCGCACTGCCCCAAACAGATGCAAAGTTTGTAATAAGAGCCAATAATTCATGGTCTTCATAAATGGAAGCATAGTCCTCGTGTTGGTATGACTCTTTTTCTAATACCTGCTCAAACACATCTTCATTCTGAAAGAGTTAATAAGCATTGGGGGGGAATGAAAGTCAAACTTTAGGCTAAATTACCACCCAACTCCCAAAAATAAAGAGTGAATATGATTAAAGGAATTTACAAATGTGTACTCTACACTAAATCTTTTTGAAGAAAACAGATAACTTTGACACAATGGTTTGGAATATGAGCAAAGAGAAAAAATCCAACTAGTTCATTGGCTTGAAAATGAACGAGCAACAAGTCAGCTTGGTCATGTGGCTAAGGTGTGCCAGAGGGTGTGTGTTTGGTTGAAATGTTTATCTGCACATCGAGAAAAACAACACAGGAAGTTTCCACTTGGGAATGAGAAGAGATAACTAAATAGTATGAGTCAAGATGAAGTACTCAGGGTTCATAACATTTGTTTGTTTATTTGTTGTTTAACGTCAATCTCAGTAATAATCCTGCAACATGACTTCAGCCTGTGAATAATCAAGTTCGACCAATAAGTGAACAACTAATGAGCGATACTCCACACTATCATGGGCTAATATAAACCGAGCCACCAAATTTGACTATCCAGTACATCTACTCACCTTGCATGACCAGCATACATTGCCGGGAGCCACGTAGCCTAAGAATCCCTACAAGGTCACTTTCAACAAACCATGAATCTCATTATAATTTACAGTTTCTACTTCTGGCCCTTTTGATTTCAATTATGAACATTCTTGAATATTTTGCATGAATTCTGACCTGGTCTCCTGTGGCTAGGAGAGGGGTTATGACAGTTGTGTCCTCATTGTTAAAGATGGGTGTCATGGCACGGAACATGGTGCTGATCTGCTGGGCCGTCGTTCCACCCTCCGCCCTACGAGCTCTGGAGATTTGAAGGTGAGATTTATGTGTCTCATAACTGCTATCAAACATATATGGCCAATCAAATTCGTCAGTGATTAGCTTCGCCATGCTGACGACCTGAGGTCAGCCTATGACATACTACTGACAAGTTGGTCATACTTGGTGCTTTTGAGGTCGCCTTCGCCTGTTGGCATTTCAGCAGTAAGGTCATACTTAGGTTGAATTCACCTATATATGTATCACAACTTGGTGGTTTTAGAGAGATTATCCATGTTCTTAGGTCATACCTATTTTTCATCATCATAACTGCCTTGATGATGCAACAGTAATGATGGAAACTTTGGGTGGAGGGTCACACTAAGTAGTACGGAGTAGGTCAGATGGTGTCCCAAAACAACATGTTATGTATAATGCAACTCTGTGGTCATGACAGTTGTTCAAATAAGTGTTGATTCAATACTAAAATGGTACGGTTTTAGAGTGTGGAGGAAACAGATTACTGCACCTATGCCTGTCAGATGCAATATGTGTTACAAGTTGTTGAGAGTAATGGTATCTGACAGAGATGAATGTAGCAATCTCTATGTATTCAGGTTCGATCCCCGACCGCATCATACCAAAAAGACGTTAAAATATGGTACTTGTTGGTCCCTGCCTGCTCGGCATTAATGGGTAATGACTGGTCGGCTCGGAGTCAGTATAATGTGTCTGAGTTTGGTATTCATGCTTCACTGCGGCATGGTATCTCAGTGGGCTAGCACTATAAAACCAGCTTAAGTCTGGGCTAGTACAAGCAGCCGCACATACACATACACACGCATGCATGTCGTCATATGAGCGAAATATTCTCAAGCACGACGTAAAACCCAATTTCACCTCACTTCTATGTATTCATGCTAAGGCCTGACCAATTTTATTTCTTGTTTTACAGATTTTTGTCCTCAGAAAACCTAAAGGCAGGAGGGAAAGAAATAAAAAATAAAAATCACCAGTCAAAGTAATATTCCTTTTAAATACTAAAAGTACTTTATTTTTGGCAATTTGTGAAGTGTATATGGGGCAAAAAACAATCAAAATTTGTTGTTGTTGTAATTTTACATTTTTGTCCAATATAAACATGAGGATTTTATTTTTGAGCAGGGAAAAATAACGTCTTTTTTTTTCCCTTATTCTTGAAAAAATATGGCCGGCGGATCCATAAAACAAGAAATAATTGGTCTGTCCCAATTGGTTGGGATATTTCCCAGATCTCTCTATCTTTCATGGTTTAAATCAAAACTAAACAGAAGGTAATTGTTATTTAAAATATTTCATTCTTGCACAATGTTTAGTCAAAACAGGACAAAACTTGGTCAAATACATCCTTTAAACATCATTCTTGGATATCTGATCCCTAAGGCAAGAAGGCTGATAATCTTACCTCTCAAAACACACCAGTCGCCTGTAGGGGACATTGTGGGGCAGTGGTTTGGACACCCAGCAATGGAAGTTAGTCCTGAGGTCAAGCTCCTTGTCCCTCGCCAGTTCTTGGACGCTGATGTTCAAATTGCGACTTAAGGCAGCAATGAGTGTACCAGGTGAAGCAGTAGAATAGTCTCCTGCACACAAATTCTGGCTAATCAAACTGACGCATTAACACTGACATGAGAATGTGTTGAAATTGTTTTTTCTATTAAAGAAGCACATTACACACTATTCTCAGAATATTTCAATTCGTTTCAATGCTGTTTCTTCTTATCATAGCTTATAGAATATGTACTTGAAACATATGTAAAACTACACACTTCATACAAATAGGAATGTTGGACTGTACCTTGAAAGGCTGAGACGAAGATGATGTCCGATGCCTCATCTTGTTGCAGCTGTGTGATGTCCCCTATCAGCAGCTGTATCTCGCTTGTACCCAGGGCTGTCTTCAGCTGGATGCTGTCTTCCTTGTGGAGAACCATCTTTCACCTCAACAGGATCAAACACTAAGAGACATCCTTAATCTGCAGAGGATCAAACAGTTATGAATTAGCTCAGTAGGATCAAACATCAAGAGCATCACCTGGCAAAGATCAAATACTGACAGCATATTCCACCCAAGTAGGATCAGACACCAAGAGCATCCTCAATATGACTTGGGTCAAACACTCAGTGCATCCTTCACATGACTTGGGTCAAACATTCGGTGCATCCTTCACATACAAATAGGATCAAACACTAAGAGTATCTTTTACCTGAATAGGATACAAAAATGTAATTTTTATGATAAAATTGATATTTTATACTTATCCTGACTCATGTTTATTTGCTTTCTCATTCCTCTCTTCCGAATGGTCAAGTGGAAACTTGAATCCCTTCAATTCCCTAGAAGCGAACGTACAATCACTCACCCTGAATTACCTCCCTTTTCCCGCCAAAAAAGGCACGTGATCACCTCATGCCTAGTCCTCACTCTCTCCGACTATTGCCCCACGCAACTTTACAGGGAAACCCGAGTGGTGAGAGGGGACGGTTGGGAGGGCTTCATCTCATGAGTCAGGATAAGTATGAAATATAAATTTTATCATAAAAATTACATATTTTTCCTTATCCTGACTCATGCTTATTTGTTTTCAGAATCCAACGGAATAGGTGGTGGGTCAGCCACCTACAAGATTCCCTACATGATTTTATTCACATCTCCATTCGCTTATATATGACCCCCTGGGAATTATTCTTCTGCCGCTAACATATATTTTTTATGCTCATTTTACATACATATTAGAAGTAAACTTTAGGTTTAGTGGCTTTAGTATAATTAGACGCATCATTGTCTAGATATCTGGAACGACCCAATGTGTTACGGTAAGATCTAGTACCGAAACTGGTATCGCGATCCATCTGTTAAGGCAAGGACTTTACCAAAACTGAGTCTATGTTTCACTGATGCGCTGTCTAATCTCGTAAGACAGGGGAACATGGATTCTCAGCCGGTGGCAATGGATCAGTTGCCTGGCGTCAACGAGTGAGATTTACGTCTTCCGTCGAGATATCTCTTAGATAGTGGTTAACGAAGACAGTGTCTGACTTCCAAAAGCAGCCTTCCATTATAGATGATCTCGAGCAGTTTCCATGTCGGGCTGAGTGTCGAGGCCAATGCTCTAACTTCATGTGGGTTTGATGCTCTTGATGCTAACCCTGCTGCTTTGTAAGCTCTTAGGATCACCACTCTGATCCAGAAGGAGACTGTGGTACAGGAGACTTCTACAGTCGTAGTGGTTGATAGTGGGATGAATAGACACTTGAGCTCCGATCGGGCATAAGGACAGATCTTGTGTGTCATCTGTACCCAGGATGGTTGATAATGCCGAAACGTGGAACTGACAATCCGGTTGGCCCGGTAGCTGGTTCTTAGCTATGAAGTCCCATCTAAGGCCTAGATGGACTGCCGCCCTTCCTCCCGTGTCGAATCTCGTACGGCTGAAGTCAAGGGCCTGGATCTCAGACATCCAAGCAACAATAGCCAGGGCGAGGAGGAATATTGTGTTTTGAGTTAATGACTCAAATGTTGTCTGCGTCAGCAGCTCATAAACATCACTGATGAGGTGCTGCAACACTATGTTGAGGTCCCATGCTGGTGCTCTGAACTTCTGCTGTTGATCTTCTAACTTGAAAGATCTCAGCAGGACTACTAGTTCCGGCACCTTGGTCAGCTTCACCCCTGTCTTCATGGTGATTACTAAGCTGATTGCCGCCAGGTAGGTAGACAAAGTAGAACCCTTCAGATGTTTAGTGGACCTCAAATGACACAGGTAGTCTGCTACTTGTGGATGTATCGCTTTCCTGGCCATGAACCCCTGCCGAACAGCATACTGGTCAAAGTTTCCCCACTTTTCATCATACAAGTTACTTGTAGATCTTCATAGAATCAGGGATACTCCACTAGAGCAGCCAAGGCAGTAACCTTGGCTGCTCTAGTGGAGTATCCTCGATTCTTCAAGCAGTACATAATATGCTCCATACGTGTAACTGGAACACTGCTGGGTTCTTGTGTCGCTTCTTGGTGTGAGGGTTGATGAGTAGGTTCGGCCAGTCTGGAAGTTGTAGTACGGGTTTGATGTGCTGAGCTATGAGGTCTGGGAACCATAGTCTCGCTGGCCAGTAAGGCGCGACCAAAGTCAGTAGTAGGACCATCGTTTGGCTGATCTTGCGTAATACTTATGGTAGCAGGATCGATGGGGTGAGGCGTAAGCGTTCAGTCCTTCCCAGAACATGGTCAGGGCGTCAACAGCCCATGCTAGTGGGTCTGGCACTGGTGAGACGAAGGTTGTCTCCTGATGGTTGAACCAGGTTGCAAACAGGTCAATGAGAGGACGGCCGAAGTTCTGCTGTTACCCACTGGAATGCCTCTGGATGTAACTTCTACTCTGTAGGAGACGGTCGTACTGATCTGGATAGAGCGTCAGCTAAGACGTTCTTCTCTCCTGGGATGTGGCGGGCCCTCATCCTCAGGTTGATGTCGTCTGCAATGTTGTACAGCTGGAACATTAGATGAAGCAGTGACTCTGATCTCGTGGACCCTTGCAGATTGATGTAAAAGGCCACCGTGGTGTTGTCAGTGTGTATCATCAGGATCTGATCTCTTAACTGCGCTGCAAAGTATTGCACTGCTTCTATTACTGCTTTCAGTTCTAGCTGATTGATGTGTAGACCCCTCTCTGTTTGTGTCCATCGCCCTGCTGCAATCTTGTCGTTGAAATGTGCCCCCCATCCTTGGAGGGACGCATCCACGTAGAGATGAAGGTCGTATGCTGGCTCTCTCAAATAGGTTCTGCCGCAAACATTCGATCTTACTGTCAACCAAAGCAGGAACTGCTATAGATGTTGTGGGATGGCGAACCTCTGGACCTCATCTAGATGAGTTATCAGGAAGTGCTGTAGCGGTTGTAGCTGCAATCTTCCTCTGCGTGTGAGAGCCTGTGCCGACGTCAGTAGACCCAAGATTCGCTGCCACGTTCTTAAGTCTAGTGACGAGTTGAGGGCATCTGGTATGCACGACTGGATGCTGCGCCATTGGTCTTCTTGAACCAGGATGCGATTCTGCGACGTCAGGAATCTGATGCCCAGGAACTGTAGATCTTGGGTTGGTTCCAACTCCGACTTTTGAAGATTCACCAGCCAGCCCAGTTGTTTCTGTCTGCAGGTTGATCGTAAACTGCAACTGTTGTCTGAGTAGATTTGCTTCTTGATGCGCCTGGATGCTGTCGTCTAGGTAGAAGGCATTGCGTATACACCTCTGATGGAGTTATGCTACGATTGGTTTGGTTATTCGCATAATTAACCAGGGGGCTGACGAAATAAAAGGGCAGTACCTTCCACTGGTAGTGTCGCCCTTCGAACAGGAATCGTAGGTACTTCCTTGATTCTGGATGCATTAGGATGTGTAAATACGCATCTTGCAGATCTATGCTGGCCATGAAGTCATTTGGTCAGATTAGATGTCTTAGCTGAGGTAGATGTAGCATCTTTTGACTTTCTCTGGTCTCAACAGGTAAAAACTTGGAAAGTAATACCCGGGCGTGAGTCTGCGTTTATCGATGATCTCTACAGCTTCCTCTGATACTAACATGTCGATTGTCTCGGTCACCTTGTCTCGCTGTAGCTGAGGATACCGGAAGACCAAAGGTTGGATGGTCAATGGCGGCGTCAACTGCAACTGGATACTGTAGCCCTCTTGTAGAACTTCTATGACATACTCGTCTTGTAGTACTCTCCAATTTTCTCAGGAGAGACCCAGACATCCACCCATGGCTGACGGTTGTACAGGAACGGCTGGAGGTGGAAGGGACCAGTTGTTCTGAACCTGCACTTCAATAACGGGACCTCCTAGCACTGCCAGAGGACTGTCCACGGCCAGAGTAACTTCTGGTGTTACTGGAACAATGAAAAGACCCTGAGTAGCTGGGTACTTCTTCTCCTTGGACCGCTGTATGCCAGAGAAGCGGGACCATAGTTGACTGCGCTGAGTTGATTGACGAACTATGGTGTTCATCGTCATGATGGACTTTATCAACATCAAGTCTTGGAGTCTTGTGATACTTCACGGGATAGCTGCCGGATGCCGCTGTCAAACAGCTGCGGGATGACTGCTACAGACTCATCTGTAGACAACGCCGACAGGGCTGACTTCTGCTGCCTCTGGATCTGCAATGACCTCGGTGGACTGCTAGCAGGGAGGTGCACCGACCCTGAAGATCTAACAGCATCACTGCAAGGGGTAGACTGCAAGAATGACATCGGCGACATCATACTTTTGATCTGTGCTGACAGGTTCTCAACACTGGAAGTTCTCATCAAAGGCATAATCAAACTGTAAACCAGCCATAGAAGAACACCCAGGGTGTGAATCAAGAGCTGAGACGTGATGGACCAATGTTTACACTGTGAAATGTAAACAAATAGTCATCTTGAAACGGAGTGAAAACATCAATTAATTTGACATAATATGTACAAATTTTGTGACAAATATGATAAATAACATATTAATAAACACATTCACGGCAGAATTTGAGCTAAATATCCAAAAAGTATGAGCTGCGAAGGGACCCTGGAGTGACCACCCAACCCACCGCTTGGGCGATAGAGGAGAGAGTGAGGACTAGGCATGATGTTATCACGTGCCTGTTTTGGTGGGAAAAGGGAGGTAATTCAGGGTGAGTGATTGTATGTTCGCTTCTCAGGAATTGAATGGATTCAATTTTCCACTAACCATTCAGAAGAGAGGAATGAGAAAGCAAATAAGCATAAGTCAGGATAAGGAAAAAGTATCCTTCACTCAAATTGGGGAGCAGGGGCAAGAGGCCCTACCCCCCAACCCCAATATTTGAAGAATGATAAAATAATGTCCATTGTATATCAAAGAACATCAAAGAAGATGTGACTGAATGTAAACGAGTGGAAGTAAAACTGAAGAGACAAAATTATGATTTGAAAGCGGTAGGTTCAATGTAAACACTTCACTCTGTAAACAACAGTAGGGTAGATTCATAACAACTGTCAGATTAGTTACCGTTTTCAGGTGGTTGTGACAAGGACTATTAAGTCATTGCTTGGGAATTTGATAAAATCGAAGGAACACAGAATTTTAATACATTTACTCAATGCTATTGTAAAGTATGGCAGCCAAAATTATATGTTTCAAACTATTCAGATCAAGATTCATGTGTGATCAAATATATAGAATCTGTTGGTCTGTCACAATATTGTTGCAATGGTATTATCAACATCGCCTGTAGATTGTGGGGCTTCATTTGTGGTGAAACAGTTTGTGACCATGTGTTTCCAAACATGAGTCATTATTATTCTGCTGCTGATGGCTAAGTGTTCAGTCTTAGATATTATATGGACCCATGAAGGTCCGGGTTAGAATTGGTCTTCAGTAACCCATGCTTGTCATAAGAGGTAACTAATGGGATTAGGTGGTCAGGCTCGCTGACTTGACACATTTCATCCTATCCCAATTGCTTAAAACGATGCTCATGCTGTTAATCACTGGATTGTCTGGTCCAGATTTGATTAGTTACAAATCGCAGCCATATAGTTGGAATATTGCTGAGTGCAGCGTTTAACAACAATCAATCCACAAATATGAGACCCTACGCCATAGGGGACCGTACCAGTCTAAGTAAACTTAGACTCAGTATTATTCGTTACACTGCTATACTGGGTCTAACAAAACCTTGTGGAAGGTCGCGTCAGGTAACCTTTGAACGACCTATGACCGTCCAATCAAACGCGAGACGGCCGAACGGATTTAACCATTCAGACAACAGCTACTATTTAGGGTTCGGCGGGACTTACAAAATGGATTTTCTCTTCCCCGTTCGCAACACTGATCTCCCAACAAATGAAAATTGCATAAAACACAGATATTTGCCCTGCAGTATATAACTTTGGGGTTTCTGGTGACATGGCTATCATTAGCTTATATTTCAGCAAGCTGACATGCTTTAATACTGACAAAACGCTATTTTCAGCAACTGTTTACTCACTGCTCAGTGGCGTGCCTCACTCGGAAGCGATCGTACGGAAAATAGCATTTGGAATCGTTCGGTACAAATTTTTGGGAGGTAAAAGTTCAAAAGGTATGTGCGAATGTCAATTTTCGCGATTTGGAAGCTGTGTTCTGATTGGTCAATTGAAAAGGTTATCTGACGCGACCTTCCAAGGTTTTGTTAGACCTAGTATAACAGTGTAACGAATAATACTGAGCCTAAGTTACTGGGGACCGTACACAATTTATGGTGGGTGGTGGGGTGGGTGGTGTTGATGATTTTACGGGGGTCACCCATTTTGTTCTGGGGAGATGTGTATGGGGGTTTCATCAATTTTGTATACATGTACTGGGGGGCATCAATTTTGTACATGATGATATTAAATAGATTATGCTAAAACATTAATACGGGAGGGGGTGTCATTGATTTTGTACATGACATGCAGGGGGGTCACTTACTGTCTACATAAATTTTGGGGGGCGGGGGCATTCACATTGTACATGCTTCCCCATATTGATCCCCCTAGCCATAAATTATGAACGGTCCCTAAGGCGTCTTGGAGCCATCCGGATCAGTACCACATGGATACAATTTCGCTCGGATTGGAATCCGACAGTCAAGACATAACCATCCAGTTTTGTCTGTGTTTACTGTCGGCTTGACAGAGCAGTTCTCGGCTATGATTTCAATTTCAAAACTGTGTCTGGCCTGTTCACTTACGACATTCGTCGATGGTGTTGTTTTTGTTGTTAACCAAAACAGGAAGAAGCGTGTTTGAGTAAAGTAAATTGTGGATTGTGGAGTGAAACGAAATATTACTTCATTAGGCACGTCGATTGCTTGACAAGTCCAGTGAATACCGCTGGATTTTGTTTCAGTCAAATAGTTGTCAATTATTTTGCTTTAGAGGAATGCGTCCTCGTTTACTTTCTTTTCTTACACAAGACGGTTTATTACTATATATATGACTTACGTTTGAACGTATTGGGGACCGGTCACAATGTATTACTTTGACTGTAAGGGGTCACCCATTTTGTTCTTGGGAAGTAGGAGGTAATCAATTGTGTACACATGTACTAGGTGGGTGGGGTGCTGGTGGGGTGGTCATTAATTTCGTACAGGGGGGCATTCACATTGTACATCCTCCTCCACAAAAATCACTATCATCAAAACACACACACCAGTTATATAAATTATGAACGGCCCCTTAGATTAGGGATAATCTGCAACGTCTTCTATTCTCCCTGCTTAGATTTATAAATTTGCATGCAATGTTCGTTGCGTTGTATTTTGACCCACTTCTGAAAACCAGTCAAATATTTAAAGACGGTTATAAGTTTGAATAGTTAGGTTTTTATACGAATACATGCTACAAGGAGTCTATTTATTTCAGACTTACATATAATGTCTCATGTATCATACCCCAACAGGGACATAAACCGCATTAGGGTCACTTTGTGTAACATGATCATTTCCAGAATCGATGTTGCATTTCCATCGTTACATTGTAACGATATATACATTGTAACGATATAATCCACTCTGTGTCTTTCATCTGAAACTGTGTTACAAACAACGTGTATGTGTATTTTCTCATTTCTCAATACGAGAGATGGCAAAATTCGTTTCGTGAATCACTATTTTACAAGTACCCAAGGAGGTATCAAGGGACGCTAAATATACACAGACGCGTGTGCAGTGTCCATCGATTAAAGCAAGCGTGAAATGTCATCTCTCCCCACCAAACTAAAAGACCCTCGAACATGCCGGATATTTTTCTCCTCCCCCTTTGGAGGAATGGAGGAGGAACGCGAGGAGCTAACGCGGAAATACTTTCCCCAGATTCACCATCTGTGCAACTCGCGGGGAATTCAATTTGTGGCTGTGGATATGAGATGGGGAATCACGTCGGAGGCGGCTGAAGACGCCCAGACTGTCAGCATCTGTCTCCGGGAACTGGACAGATCAGATATGTTCGTGGGCTTCTTTGGTCAGGTGTGTAGTTGATATGTTGTCGTCGTTTTAATTACCGTCCGGGTTTGAAATTACCACGACCACGACACACACCCCACCCCCCCAACCCCTACCCACCTAGCCGAGAGCCGCGATGCGGCCCTATACAGTCAAGACATGACCGCGCGACATGACTGTCGGCTACCCCCACCCCACCCATCACTCACTCACTCACACACACACACACACACACACACACACACACACACACACACACACACACACACACACACACCACACACCACACCACACCACACCTGCATGTCATGTACAAAATCAAAGACCTGCCCTCACCTTCCCATAATTTTTAAGCATAATTTTTAAATATTGTTATGTACACAATTGCTTGTAAAGATGTGTCAGTTCAGGAAGGATCATGAAGGGGTGTTTGCTTGTGAAGGTGTGTCAGTTCAGGAAGGATCATGAAGTGGTATTTGCTTGTAAAGATGTGTCAGTTCAGGAAGGATCATGAAGGGATGTTTGCTTGTAAAGATGTGTCAGTTTAGGAAGGATCATGTAGGGATGTTTGCCTGTAAAGATGTGTCAGTTCAGGAAGGATCATGTAGGGATGTTTGCTTGTAAAGATGTGTCAGTTCAGGAAGGATCATGTATGGATGTTTGCTTGTAAAGATGTGTCAGTTTGGGAAAGGATCATGAAGGGATGTTTGCTTGTAAAGATGTGTCAGTTCAGGAAGGATCATGAAGGGATGTTTGCTTGTAAAGATGTGTCAGTTCAGGAAGGATCATGTAGGGATGTTTGCTTGTAAAGATGTGTCAGTTCAGGAAGGATCATGAAGGGGTGTTTGCTTGTAAAGATGTGTCAGTTCAGGAAGGATCATGAAGGGATGTTTGCATGTAATTGTAAAGATGTGTCAGTTCAGGAAGGATCATGTAGGGATGTTTGCTTGTAAAGATGTGTCAGTTCAGGAAGGACCATGAAGGGATGTTTGCTTGTAAAGATGTGTCAGTTCGGAAAGGATCATGAAGGGATGTTTGCTTGTAAAGATGTGTCAGTTCAGAAAGGATCATGAAGGGATGTTTGCTTGTAAAGATGTGTCAGTTTGGAAAGGATCATGAAGGGATGTTTGCTTGTAAAGATGTGTCAGTTCGGAAAGGACCATGAAGGGGTGTTTGCTTGTAAAGATGTGTCAGTTCAGGAAGGACCATGAAGGGGTGTTTGCTTGTAAAGATGTGTCAGTTCAGGAAGGACCATGAAGGGGTGTTTGCTTGTAAAGATGTGTCAGTTCAGGAAGGATCATGAAGGGATGTTTGCTTGTAAAGATGTGTCAGTTCAGGAAGGATCATGAAGGGATGTTTGCTTGTAAAGATGTGTCAGTTCAGGAAGGAGGATCATGAAGGGATGTTTGCTTGTAAAGATGTGTCAGGGATGTGTCAGTTCGAAAGGATCATGAAGGGATGTTTGCTTGTAAAGATGTGTCAGTTCGGAAAGGATCATGAAGGGATGTTTGCTTGTAAAGATGTGTCAGTTTGGGAAGGATCATGAAGGGATGTTTGCTTGTAAAGATGTGTCAGTTCGGAAGGATCATGAAGGGATGTTTGCTTGTAAAGATGTGTCAGTTCAGGAAGGATCATGAAGGGATGTTTGCTTGTAAAGATGTGTCAGTTCGGAAAGGATCATGAAGGGATGTTTTGCTTGTCAGTAAAGGATGTGTCAGTTCAGGAAGGATCATGAAGGGATGTTTGCTTGTAAAGATGTGTCAGTTCGGAAAGGATCATGAAGGGATGTTTGTTTGTAAAGATGTGTCAGTTCAGGAAGGATCATGAAGGGGTGTTTGCTTGTAAAGATGTGTCAGTTCGGAAGGATCATGAAGGGATGTTTGCTTGTAAAGATGTGTCAGTTCGGGAAGGATCATGAAGGGATGTTTGCTTGTAAAGATGTGTCAGTTCGGGAAAGGATCATGAAGGGATGTTTGTTTGTAAAGATGTGTCAGTTCGGAAAGGATCATGAAGGGATGTTTGCTTGTAAAGATGTGTCAGTTCGGGAAGGATCATGAAGGGATGTTTGCTTGTAAAGATGTGTCAGTTCAGGAAAGGATCATGAAGGGATGTTTGCTTGTAAAGATGTGTCAGTTCAGGAAAGGACCATGAAGGGATGTTTGCTTGTAAAGATGTGTCAGTTCAGGAAGGATCATGAAGGGATGTTTGCTTGTAAAGATGTGTCAGTTCGGAAGGATCATGAAGGGGACCATGTTTTGCTTGTAAAGATGTGTCAGTTCAGGAAGGATCATGAAGGGATGTTTGCTTGTAAAGATGTGTCAGTTCAGGAAGGACCATGAAGGGGTGTTTGCTTGTAAAGATGTGTCAGTTCAGGAAGGAATGAAGGAAAGATGTGTCAGTTCCATGAAGGGGTGTTTGCTTGTAAAGATGTGTCAGTTCAGGAAAGGACCATGAAGGGATGTTTGCTTGTAAAGATGTGTCAGTTCGGAAAGGACCATGAAGGGGTGTTTGCTTGTAAAGATGTGTCAGTTCAGGAAGGATCATGAAGGGATGTTTGCTTGTAAAGATGTGTCAGTTCAGGAAGGATCATGAAGGGATGTTTGCCTGTAAAGATGTGTCAGTTCGGAAGGATCATGAAGGGATGTTTGTTTGTAAAGATGTGTCAGTTCGGGAAGGATCATGAAGGGATGTTTGCTTGTAAAGATGTGTCAGTTCGGGAAGGATCATGAAGGGATGTTTGTTTGTAAAGATGTGTCAGTTCAGGAAGGATCATGAAGGGATGTTTGCTTGTAAAGATGTGTCAGTTCAGGGAAGGATCATGAAGGGATGTTTGTTTGTAAAGATGTGTCAGTTCGGAAAGGATCATGAAGGGATGTTTGCTTGTAAAGATGTGTCAGTTCGGGAAGGATCATGAAGGGATGTTTGCTTGTAAAGATGTGTCAGTTCAGGAAGGATCATGAATTGGTGTTTGTAAAGATGTCAGTTCAGGAAGGATCATGAAGGGGTGTTTGTTTGTAAAGATGTGTCAGTTCGGGAAGGATCATGAAGGGATGTTTGCTTGTAAAGATGTGTCAGTTCGGGAAGGATCATGAAGGGATGTTTGTTTGTAAAGATGTGTCAGTTCAGGAAGGATCATGAAGGGATGTTTGCTTGTAAAGATGTGTCAGTTCAGGAAGGATCATGAAGGGGTGTTTGCTTGTAAAGATGTGTCAGTTCGGGAAGGACCATGAAGGGATGTTTGCTTGTAAAGATGTGTCAGTTCAGGAAGGACCATGAAGGGTGTTTGCTTGTAAAGATGTGTCAGTAAAGGATGTGTCAGTTTGCTTGTAAAGGTGTGTCAGTTCAGGAAGGATCATGAAGGGTGTTTGCTTGTAAAGATGTGTCAGTTCGGGAAGGATCATGAAGGGATGTTTGTTTGTAAAGATGTGTCAGTTCAGGAAGGACCATGAAGTGGTGTTTGCTTGTAAAGGTGTGTCAGTTCAGGAAGGATCATGAGGGAAGGATCATGAAGGGGTGTTTGCTAGTCTGACGTGTCAGCTCCCTAGGACCCACAGATTGCCATTGGAGCATGTGCAAGGCTAGAGATGTAGTGAGAGAGGGAGCAGTACAACATGGTGAATGACAACAAGTACACAAGTGTAGGGCTTACACAATAAAACATGGATGACAAGAAGGGCATAGTAATTGCTGTATGCAATTTGCCTGAAAATATTAGAGTTGTAGGTGTTTTGAGTACAGTAAGTAAACTTTATTGTTGCAAACTTATTGTTGCTGTATACTGAAGTACATAATTGAACATACACATTAACACACATGTACAAATTAGCAAGGTGAAAGGTTTTCATAAGCAAATAAGATCAAATATGGGAATTTAAAGGGGATTACAGTGAGTTTTCAACAAGGCTCTCCCTTGCTGGTCCCAAACCCAGGATGCCATCCGTTAATTACGTTGGCTAATTAAAATGGCACTGACTGGATGATTGAAAGTTAGAGTTTTGTTTCCCATTAACACAAGAATCATTTCAAGATGAGCTTGAATCAATTCTGCTCAAGTCTTATCAAATCCACTAAATCATATAAGATTTACTCCTATTTTTCACCAAACAGGTGGTGGTACCCCCACATAAACGACAAGAACATAATCATCACAGGACGTTTCCACCACATTTTGGGAGAATGAAGAGATAAGAAATTAGTAAGAATTAGTCAGGATAAGTATAAAATGATATGTTTTTCTAAATGGACACACTCATTGTCTCCTAGCCAAACCACATGAAGTTTTGAAGTAAATCCCTCCTTGCCTCTGTGTGGTCGTGTGTCTGATGCTTGTTGGGAGAGTCTACTAGGTTAGCTGGACAGAAGAACACAGCAGTGTTTAGAAGGGATATGATGTACCTATAATTCAAATAGAGAAGTCTGTACCATACAGCTCTGTGAAGATCATAACACAGAGTGTTTCAAACTACCAGTTAATAATTGTGATACTTGTTTTATTTCATAAGCGGTATGGGTGGTTTGGCAAGAATGATGGAGCACTTCAAAAGAACATTGACAATGCAATCCAGCGCTACCCCTGGCTGGACGGTCACCGGGGCAAGAGTGTGACGGAGATGGAATTCCTCCACGGACACCTCAACAGCCCGGGTGCCATGCCTGCCATCATTTGCTTCAGGGATAAGGTAACAGACAGATCTGAAAAGAAATACTCTTTTATATTCCACCTACTGAAAATTTACACCACCACTTACTCTTACTACAAACAAGATTTACACGCAGTCTTAATATATGCAAAACAAAGAAAATCACTTAACGAAGTGACTCACTCGTACCTAACCCAAAGGAGGTACCTTGAATGTTTGAGTCATGATGACTACCTTTGTAGTGTGGGGTAGCCTAGCGGTAAAGCGTTTGCTCGTCACACCGAAGACCCAAGTTTCATTTCCCCACATGGGTACAATGTGTGAAGCCCATTTCTGGTGTTCCCGCAGTGATAATGTTAAAAGTGGCATAAAACTTTACTCACTCACTCTATAGAGTGGGTTATTTGTGTTTCTAAAGCAATGACATACTCTGTAGAGATTGTTATTTTCATTTTCCAAAATGTATGAATACTATGAAGATGTCTTTAGAAAGTGTAGGTTATTTGTGTTTCTAGAGCAGTGGATAGGTCATCTGTAGATTTTCTTATTTGTGTTGAGAGAACAATAATATAAGGACATCTTCTGTAGAGTGGGTTGTCTTTGTTGCCAGGGATACGATGACATGAAGAGAGCAGAGGGGGAGACACGTGGAGATAAAAAACAAGTTTTCAAGTTCTCTGCTGAGAATTCAGAATCTGTTCAACTCATGGATGATCTGAAACAGAGAGTTGAGGAAACAAGGGACAAGGTGTGTTATGTACTAATGAACATATAAGTAATTAGTGCAAAGCTGCAGAAAACATTTGTAAGGTAGGGAATTGTAGATTTATGAATGCACCTTTTTGAAAGTGGTCAAATGTGACATGTTGTATTTAGGATGAAATACAAAGTGCAGATTCAAGTCCTTTTTTTTGTTGACTCCCATCTAGGATGTGAACCCTCATTTTCAGAGTGACCCACCTAACTGCAAGCACACACAGTAAAAAATATGACCAATTAAGCCACTGATGTTTCCACAAAAGTCCAACAACTGGTGTTCAAAATCACATACTTTTTGTACCTCTCTCATGTAAACATGGCGGTATCCTCAAGGGAGGTTGAAGTACCGTAAAATTATTGTCCTCCTGAAAGGATATGTAAGTACCAAAACATTCGAAGTAAATTGTAATCTTCCACATTTTTACTCGTAGTATTATTGTCATTTTAATTTGTGGCTAAATTTGCCTACAATCACCAGCAGCTGAAGGGATGGTGTAAATCTAGCTAGGGTCCATGCAGGTAGCAAAGGCACCGTGAGGCCCCATGGTCCTTAGTATGGTGATCTACCTTCAGTTGTTAGCGATCAATAGCACATTTTTACATTGTATTGTCTAAAATAGTTTTCATACTTTTAAAGATATATGCTAGCTAGTTTTAACTCTTTTTGTGATACACTAGTTATTTTACAGTCCGTCGATGACTGGTTATTAACTACTTGTATTTATTGTGAATGTACAACTTTTCTCGTCACTATATGGCTGAAATACTGCCCGAAGTGAAGTCAAATTTTTACTCACTCACAAGTGTAAACAGGTACAGCCCGAGGGTTATGAACACAAAATTCCTTTTAGAAAGTGGTAATGTGTATTGTAACAAGTGTTATATTTGTGATTACCAACTGGGACTAAGCCGAATCTTGTCTTTACTAAGAAAGTTTAATACCAAATATAACTTAGATCATGGATATATAATTTATACGACATACAAATTATAATCCCAATTCCGAAAGTAGAATCAACTTCCCCTATCAGTTAACTTTAGTATCCTAAAACTAAATATTATTCATGTTTGTTTATTGAGATCTCATATTATGCTAGTGTTACTTGGTCTACTATTTTAGTTTTTGTTTGTTTGTTTGTCTGTTTTTAATACCGCACTCAGCAATATTCCAGCTATATGGCGGCAGTCTGTAAATAACTGAGTCTGGACCAGACAATTCAGTGATCAACAGCATGAGCATCGATCTACACAACTGGGATATGATTACATGTGTCAACCTAGTCAGCAGGTCTGATCCCATTAGTCACCTTTTACCACAAGCATGGGTTGCTGAAGACCAATTCTAACCTGGATCTTCATGGGTAATTATTTTGCTATAATATGTTCATAATTTCAGACTCTTGGAGTTCAGATGAAATACAGTACCCCTGCAGAGGTGAGTACAGACTTGTATTACCTTTTCTGGTTTCAATATAGGGGAACTTATTTCAGCAAGTATCACATCATGTTTTTGATCTCTGTTGATTAACTATGGGTTGCAGATAGTTTCATTTGGTTTTGATTGTTTATGACGAGGTAGGTCCATAGCAGCTACAATGAATGAGTGAGTGAGTTTAGTTTTACGCTGCACTCAGCAATATTCCAGCTATATGGCGGTGGTCTGTAAATAATCGAGTGTGGACTAGACAGTCCAGTGATCAACAGCATGAGCATCGATTGGGGAACCCGATGACATGTGTCAACCAAGTCAGCGAGCCTGACCACCTAATCCCGTTAGTCGCCTCTTACGACAAGCATGGGTTACTGAAGATCAATATTTTAACCTGGACCTTCATGGGTCAGCAGCTACAAAAACTAGGATTGCAATGTTGCAAATAGATAATTTCATCCATTGTTTGTGACCATGATGACATCACAAACTGTTTTTCTGTGAAATTATTCTTACAATAGACTTACTGAACTGATGTATCTGTTGCTGAGAGAATGATGACATTATTTTCTTACATATATTCAGAATAAAAATATAGGCAATCAGTGTCAGAACCTACTTCCAACTGGAAAATATAGATAATCTCTCCTAATTTATTATGTTGAAAGTCCCTTATGGAAATATCCATATTCATTCACAATGGCAGATATCACATGGATGTATGGTGTATAGTAGTTCCCACTTGCTCACTCACTGGCCCCTCCCTTCATTACAGGCTGCAGAGTTCATGTTTGCTGGTGTATGGGAACACCTCAACAACGCGCTGCTGCTGGACACATCCAGCTCCCAGTCTCCCCGAGAGAAGGCCAAGGCACATCATGATGCTTTCGCTGCCACTAGGTCAAGTCTGTATGTGGGTGGTGATAAGTACTTCAAGTATCTCAAGGAAAATGTGATAAATGCAGGTGAGACTCTGTAGAACACCCAAACTAATGATCCGACCGGTCAGAAATTGTACAGAATTGTAACAAAACAAAGTGAAAGCTTTTCTCATAAAAGTGAATAACAAACTACTGCCAATGTTTTGTTTCCATTGTTACATTTCTGTTGTTTCATTTTGTTGTGTAAAGAAGATTGACTCAGGGAGTAGCACTTTGGATGATGCTGATGCTTCTTGTCTTTTATTATATACCCATGTAAACTTAGGATAGTACAGGGGTGCAATACGAATGAAGTGGTCAAATTCCGTATTGCACGCCAGATTCCGTATTGAACCTCTACCGCTACGCTATGATTTGTTTTATTAAGTAACAGATTAATGCAAGATAAGAGGCTACATAATAAATATAGAATGTCATACTAGTGCATTCATGGGAGCAGAGAAACAACGAGTTCGAAGACATCTTCTCGTTCAATACAAAACATCCAAATGCACTAGTATGACGTTCTATATATGTAATTTTTAGAGTAAAATTGATATTTTATACTTATCCTGACTCATGCTTATTGCTTGTCTTCTCCTTCTTGTGAACATAGTGGAACACGTGTATCTCCCAATTGAAGTTCCCTTCAATTAAAAAATCACTAATTAGCACTCACCACGAGTTACCTCCCTTACACAAGCGCGGGAACGAGGGCGCCACCTCAACCCATGTGCCTCACTCTCTCCTCATATACTGAGCCCAACACTTGAATTTTTAGGGAAATCCAAAGTGTTATGTGGGGAGGATGGGAGGGCTTACCTCATGAGTCAGGATAAGTATAAAATATCAATTTTACTCTAAAAATTACATATTTTTCCTTATCCTGACTCATGCTTATTGCATGTAGAATCCGACGGAAAAGGAGGTGGGAATATATAATACTTTGGATTTTAATAATTAGTGATTTGAACTGTGATGATTGTAATAACCCTATGGGAACTTCATAAAGGCACTGAACTGATGAATTCCTTCTGCTAACTTATCAGCTGCCATATAAAGGTTATTACAATTTACTTATTATGATAAAAGTATATATAACATTAATACAAAGCTTAAGACTAATAGACTTAAGCTTGTTAATATGATAGCATAAACTCCTTAGAGTTTGTTAGCTAAAATACTTTTATGATATAAACATAGTACTAAGCTTAAGATATGATAAAACTTAAGCTAAATATATAATAGCAAAAAACTCCTTAGAGTTTATTAGCTAATATACTTTTATAAAGTAAACATAGTACTAAGCTTAAGATATGAATAAAACTTAAGCTATATATATAATAGCAAAACTTCGTAGAGTTTGTTAGCTAATATATTTTATGATATGAGTATAGTACTGTGCTTAAGATATAATTAACTTAAGCTACCTAAATAGCCAAAAAACTCCGTAGAGTTTGTTAGCTATTACATTTTATAATGTAACCATAATGCTTAAGATATGATGAAACTTAAGCTAAATATATAATAGCAAAAAACTCTTTAGAGTTTGTTAGCTAATATACTTATATGATATAACCATAGTACTGAGCTTAAGATATGAATAAACTTAAGCTACATATATAATAGCAAAAACTCCGTAGAGTTTGTTAGCTAATACATGTTATAATGTAACCATAATGCTTAAAATATGATGAAACTTAAGCTAAATATATAATAGCAAAAAACTATTTAGAGTTTGTTAGCTAATATACTTATATGATATAAACATAGTACTGAGCTTAAGATATGAATAAACTTAAGCTACATATATAATAGCAAAAACTCTGTAGAGTTTGTTAGCTAATATATTTTTATGATATGAGTATAGTACTGTGCTTAAGATATAATTAACTTAAGCTACATATATAATAGCAAAAACTCTGTAGAGTTTGTTAGCTAATACATTTATAATGTAACCATAGTACTGAGCTTAAGATATGATTAACTTAAGCTAAATATATAATAACAAACTCCGTAGAGTTGTTAGCTTATATATTGTATGATATAATAACCATAGTACTGAGCTTAAGATAATAAAAGAACTTAAGCAAAATATATATAGCATGTAGCTATTTAGTACTGTTATAAGATAAGTAGATATCTGTAAGATTGACTTATCTTCTCCGAGGAACTGTCAACTGTTGTGCGAGGACCATGGGACCGAATTGGTGGATACCTGAGACGTCCTCGGTGGTGATATCTCTCAGATAGTGGTTGGCAAACACCATATCGGAATTAACCCTCCATTATGGTATTTCAATCGCTCGGTAGAGCAAGTGTAGATGTTATCTAATATCATGAGGATTAGAAGCTCTTGGAGGGTCGAGTCCTGCAGTCTTGTAGGCACGTAGTATGACAGTTCTGATCCAAAAGGAGATAGTAGTACGGATTCAGTATAGAGGAAATAAATCTCTTGAATTTTTCCCTCCTGTTTGGCTCCTCGGTGGAGATATATTTTCACTTACTGGCCATCGTTCATTGTATCATGGGGTCCAAGTATATCAGCAAGTGTATATTCAGATGTTGGAGCGTGCTCTTCCGTTTAATATCAATGAGCTCGTATTAGGTTAAGCTCTTGTTATGAGAGCTCGATAGGTGGACAAGTTGAGCCTTTTAAAATCTTAGTCTGAGTCTAAGTGACAAATGAGTAGCTATCTAGTGCCATCCTTGTCAGCATAATTGACAAAACTGTGCCATTTGTCATCGTTAAGTTGCAAGTTGAGTTACGGGGCAAGCTAGACTGCTTTGCGCTCTGGCTGAATAACTTGTTATTCAGACACGCCTGATACAATCCATACGTGAAGTTGGAATATTTCTGGCTTTCCGTGCGCTTGTTTGGTGTGCGGGATGTATTAACAGATTCGAGCACTCTGTAAGATGTAGAATTGGTTGTCCGATTTCTTGAATAAGAGTTGGAAACCACGTTCTACAAGCTGGTCAGTAGGCCGACCAAATTCAGATGGAGGCTCTGCGTTGACTGATTTTGAGTAAACTTGTGAGATTAACGCTGGTGGCGGAAAAGCGTACGCGTTGAGTCCTTCCCACGATATGCTTAGTGCGTCTGTTGCCAATGCTAGTGGGTCTGGAACTGGCGATACGAATGTTGTCAGTTGTTTGTTGAATCGAGTGGCAAATAGGTCTATTAGTGTAGTTCCTATTTCCTTGATAATTTGAGTGAATATCTCTGTATGGAGCATTCATTCTGTCGGCGATGGTATGTGTGGCCGAGAGAGAGCATCTGCTATCACATTCTTAGCTCCTGGAATGTGATATGCTCTGACATGTATGTTGAGATTGTCGATTAAATTGAACAATTGAAAACATATAGTCGATAGGTTCGGGGACCTGGTTGAGCTTAGTTTGTTCACATAAAACGCCACTGTCGAATTGACTGTGTGAATCATCCACTGGGTATACTGTAGTAAGTTGCTCCAGTGCATTAACGCGTTTATTACTGCTTGCATCTCTAGCAGATTTATGTGTAATTTGCTCTCTTGATTGCTCATAGCCCTGATGCCGTCCTGTTGGCAAGATGGGCTCCCCAACCTTGTAGTGACACATCTACGTAGAGAAGTGTTATCGATTCCAGCTCTATTAACGAGACGTCTATTCAAACATTCGATCTCTTGGTCCACCATAGTAGATGAGGTTTGACCTGAACCGGTAAATTGAACGGTAGAGATTCGTCTAGATGCGAATTGATGATGACTTGTAACGGATGTAATTGTAGTCTGCCTCTGCCTGTCATGTCTTGAGCTGAAGTGCGTAACCCCAACAGGCTCTGCCACTGTCGTAGTGGTAGCGGAGATAGTAAGGCTTGTGGAAATGACTGTTGGATCTTGATCCATGGTCCTCCGGTTCAATTATACGATTCTGCGCCATTACAAATCAAAAACCTAGAATTAGCAGATCTTGCGAAGGTTCTAGGTCCAACTTAAGTAGGTTTACTAACCATCTAGTTGTGTTAGTAGCTTGATGATGAATTCGACTGTAATCTGAGACGTTATGGATTTGGATCCACTTGTATCCCGTCGTCGAGGTAAATTCACTGCGAAGTCCTTGACGATGTAGGTGCACAACCAAGGGTTTATGTAAAAAAAACGCCTGACTGCCATGCCCTCGTCCTTACTTGACAGGGGAGGTCTCTAACCTCAAGAAGGCAGCCCAATCATGAAGGTTCAGATTAGCTGGACTGTAAGGAGGCTTGCTCGTTCACTGATATATTGTTGTCACTAGCAACCTATGTCTTGAACTGTGAACTATGATCGACCTCTGCGTAGGGTGTTGTCCATCTCGGTCCAATCAGAACAAGGCATTTTGATTCTGTAGAGTACCCGCGCTGTGATGTCACCGGTGTAGCAGGAAAAGGAACCTTGTATAATATAGTGCCGACGTTGATATTAGAACAATCGTCGGTCTTCCCCGTAGCTTCCCGAAGTTACCCGAGTGACCACGTGTTTCGAGGGTTAATAGTAAACACGCGAAACCTCCGGCGCGAAATACCTCGCTCTGTAATATTAATGCTGGGTAGGTTATTTTCCAGGCTGTCGTGAAAGTAATTTCAGTCTTGAAGATAATTCCGACTTCCTTATATAAGGTTCAATAAAACTTGCAAGTTGTCAGCTTGTAGACTGTTAAAGCTGAACTTGTTGTACATATTTCTTCTCAGGAAATCGTTGACGATTATGAGTTTTACTCGCTGTAACAAGGCTGCTGTTCAATTTCGTTATTGAATTGTCTGCAGATCTGCGTAATGGTCACGCATGTAGATAATCGTATCGTAGTCCGGGATTGCATACCTAGCAATCTATATGGAAATGTTGATTCCTGTGAAGGTCTACGAAACGTCGTTGATGCCCTTGATGTAGGTAGTCGGCTTGAAGATCCTTAATTAGGCTCTTCATCTGTTGATAAAATAATACAGCAACGTTCTGTGTTGTAAATAGCCTGTGCAATTGTCTTCGCGTAGGCTTGTAGACGGCATATGGCATACAGTTGATAGACAACTCATGCGAATGTCTTGAACGGACTGACGAGTGGCTATATATGACGAGTGGCTAGTATATGGAGACCTTGGAGGAGACTACCTCCAAGAACACCAGGGACTTCGCGAAGATCTCGAAGTATCCCTTCTAGATCTTCTGGTTGAAGTAGACTTGGAGCCACTTAGCCTTCGCGACCTTTGCGAAAGTATCGAGTCAGAGTCCGATCAATATATGAGCGCTTGCTTCGCGAACGACCTCTGTGTTCTACAGGGTGTGGGCTCGGCACGATCTTCTCCGCCGATGTCCCTCAATCTATCCTTCGCCGGGCTGCCTGGGACTTCCTTAGCGAAGTGTCTAGAGTCCGATCAATATATGAGCGCTTACTTCGTGAACGACCTCTGTGTTATACAGGGTGTGGGCTCGCCGAAGCGCTCCTTCTCCGCGATGTTCCTCAATATATGAGCGCTTGCTTCGCGAACGACCTCTGTGTTCTACAGGGTGTGGGCTCGGCGAAGCGCTCCTTCTCCGCGATGTCCCTCGCAACTAGTGAGGCTCTAGCTCCTTCGCGGAGGCTGCCTGGGACTTCCTTAGCGAAGCGTTCGCTACGGGCTGGGTTGCCCTTCGCGGAGGCGCGTTTGTGGGCTCTGGGGCCCTACGCGAAGCCAAGGCGGGCTCTGGGGCCCTGTATGACTTATTATGGGTTGGGCTCTGGGGCCCGCGGCTCTGGGGCCTCTGTAAACCGTAACGGTCCTCCATCAGTCTCATGATTTGGTTGACCAGGTCGTCTGAGATGGTCTGCGCTGGCGTTGAGGGTGTCCTCTCTGTGATAGTGACAGGACCCTCAGTTATAATCTCCGGCGTCAGCATAGGCATCTCTGGTTGCTTGTTGATCTGCGCTGAAGTGACGGTAGCCGATACTAGTCACTTCTTATGACGTACATCTGGAATGATAATCGGAATGTCATCATCATATAAACATAATTTGAATATCAGAAGCAAAGTTTTTTAGTAGCCTTCGTGGATTTCCCTTTTGACGAAGCTGTAGACCTGGGGGTTCGGAGCGTACGTTGAGACGACGTGGAAGCTCTTCTAGTCTTAGACTGTGATGAAGGACTGCATCCCACGCTTATCCCCTGAAGGTAACCCAGGATATATCTGACTCCGATCTATTAGCCATGACTGAAGATTGTTTCCGAGATTTATCTGCCTTCCGTCTCAAAATGGAACATAAATATTTATCAAAGGCAGAAATTGGTAAATTAATACATAATTTACAACGAGAAACAATAGAACATGGAGTAATGCAACTAGGGCATTTTAAATGTGGATCGGTAGCGGAATAACGTAGTTTACAACCTGTGCAGATTCTCATTAATGTAAACTGCTGAACAAACACGGCGAACCGTGAATAAAACAGCAGAAACACGACTAATAATCAATGCAAGTTGAATAAGGATACTAGTTACACCTCTATAAATGAATATAAGAGGTACTAAACTAAATAAAGGATATAGTGTGTTGGGAGACACAGGTGCTCTCACGTCCAGCTCACTGGGCGAAGAAGGAGGGAGTGAGGCACATGGGTTGAGGTGGCACCCTCGTTCCCGCTTGTGTAAGGGAGGTAACTCGTGGTGAGTGCTAATTAGTGATTTTTTAATTGAAGGGAACTTCAATTGGGAGATACACGTGTTCCACTATGTTCGCAAGAAGAAGAAGACAAGCAATAAGCATGAGTCAGGATAAGGAAAAATATGTATGTTCACCATGAGTTGCTCGAGGTACAGTGCATGAGCTTGTTGTGTGTAAAGAGGACAATCTGGTAGTAGCACTATGAATGATGCTTTTGCTTGTTGTATGTTGTGGACTTTGACCAGGAGATACTCAGTGCAAGATCCATGTTCTTGTTGCATGTAAAGGACAGATTGTAAAAGCATGATTCTAGGAATGATGCATATGCTTGTTGTAAGCAGTTGACAATCCATGGGTACGCATGTGTGTAGAAGATAGTGTCTTCCTCACAGTGGACCCGTGAAGATCCGGGGTAGAATAGGTCCTCAGCAACCCATGCTTGCCACAAAAGGTGACTGTGCTCGTCGTAAGAGGCGACTAACGGGATCGGGTGGTCAGGCTCGCTGACTTGGTCCACTAGGGGTGTCACGATGCATCGGTTCTCACGATTTTAAGGTCACGATACGCATATCGCATCGCGATACATAATCGATTCTCATGCTGTTGATCACTGGATTGTCTGGTCCAGACTCGCTTTATTTACAGACCGCCATCTAGCTGGAATATTGCTGAGTGCAGCCTAAAGTCTTAAAATAGGAATCGATATAAACTCACTCACTTACTCCTCACAGTGTATGTCATTGCTGGGAGTGTGTTGGTCACTGTTGTCTGGTCCAGGCTCGTTTATTTACAGACCGCCATATAGCTGGAATATTGCTGAGTGCAGCCTTGTGTATGTCATTGCTGGGAGTGTCACTGTTTGATGCACGTTTGTTGTAAGCAGTTGACAGTCCACGGATAATGATGTGGTGTGTAGAGGATAGTGTCTGCCTCACAGTGTATGTCATTGCTGGGAGTGTCACTGTTTGATGCATCTGATTGTTGTAAGCAGTTGACAGTCCACGGATACGCATGTGGTGTGTAGAGGATAGTGTCTGCCTCACAGTGTATGTCATTGCTGGGAGTGTCACTGTTTGATGCATGTGATTGATGTAAGCAGTTGACAGTCCACGGATACGCATGTGGTGTGTAGAGGATAGTGTCTGCCTCACAGTGTATGTCATTGCAGGGAGTGTCACTGTTTGATGCATGTGATTGATGTAAGCAGTTGACAGTCCAAGGATACGCATGTGGTGTGTAGAGGATAGTGTCTGCCTCACAGTGTGTGTCATTACTGGGTGTGTCACTGTTTGATGCATGTGATTGATGTATGCAGGTTGACAATATACAGGTGCGCATGTGGTGTGGTGAGGATAGTGTCTGTCTCACAATGTGTGTCATTGCTTGGAGAGTCACTGTTTGATGCATGTGCTTATTGTATGCAGATGACAATCCACGGGTGATGGTGTGTGGTCCAGCTGGGAGTGGCAAGTCAGCCCTACTGAGCTGCTGGATACCTAAGCTGAGAGAGGAAGAAAAAGGATTGATTGTTGCCTACCACTTCATCGGCTGTGCACCTGACAGTGATTGTGAGTCAGGGTTACAGTAGGCTCTTGGGAACTTCAGTTTGTCTCACCATGGGTATCAAGGTTAGACTAGACCCCAACAACCTATGGGTGTCTCACTATGAGGATTTTGGTGAGAACAGGTCTGTTGCACTCTATCTCTATGCCTGTCTGACCATTGGTCTCTGGGCTAGGCTAGGTCCCAATCAACCTCTGTCTCTCTCACCACATGCCTCAATGTTAGAATAGATTCATGGGGATTTCCGTGTCATGGTACATTAATAATTGACAGCATTTGCATTAATATTATATTAAACAAACAAAAATATACTGTTACACCACTCATTAGTTCAACCATGATATCCATTTTGATGTGTTTTAATTTTAACATGCACAAACTTTTGTGCTTTTTCTTGAATTTAGCAGTGATAGTCTGATTTCACAGAAATAGTATCAGTTCCCAATGTAACCTCTGACAGTGATGCTATTTCACCCAGAGGACTAATTACTGTGCACACACAGGTTAGACTTCAGAAATTAGAGACTAAACAAGGGTGACTGGAACTTTGTTTCTCTTTTAAAGAGTCATTAACTCCCAACTCACATAATATACATTGACTGTTGTAGCACCCTTGGAGATATTGAAGCATCTGAAAGATGAAGTGGCATTCTGTCTCTCAGGAGAAGAGAGCAGCTCTGGGACAGAGAAGTCTGGAGGGAAGAATGTACAAGAGATGATGCAGCTGTTGCAGCAGACGCTGGAGCAGGCATCATCACAGACACGCAATGTTCTCATCATCATTGATGGATTGGACAAAGTTAAACTGTCAGCCAAGGCCCAGAAGGTAGACTATCACATGTGCTTCTTTTTCCTTGTAATGGTTAGAATTTGCTTATTATAAGAGTAGTGCTCATAATATCAAAGCCACAAAGTGACATGACAAAGGCATGTTTAACACCTTTACATCCCCGGTACCCCTAGATAGTGAAGGCCATCCATGTCTCTATAAGATGTACTGATGTACATACTGATTTTACTAAATGAGTTCAGAGTTATTGTATTTAGTGGGCAACAGTGAGTGTAATGCATTAATTGCCACACAAGTTTCATACAAAATGTACAGCACTCCTGTTATTTCTTAATCCTCTATAGCTTCCCTTCAGAAATGCACTCATCATGATCACTGTCGTAGAAAACCACGTTGTTCAATGATTTCAACAATCTTCAGCTGTGACCTTGTTTGTAGTGTGATGTCATTCTCATCTGATATCACCATGAGACTTGAAAGACACTTGAACTATTTCTCACAATAAAAATAGAAGTAGTACCCTGTATTTGCCTCAAGGAAAGTTGGAAAGGTTTTGGCTACAAAAATGACTACACAATGCCATTTAGAAAGTGGTCAAATGTAACATATGTTATTTATCACTTTGGAAAATACTAGTCTACTGACATCTATCATCTGTAAATGCAGGGGTCGATATTAGTCTGTCTCACTGTCCCTGAACCATATTTTGCTTCCTTCCAGCCCTTACCATGCCGTTACCTAAAGGAAGAATGTCTGGTTTTTCGACCTCACTGGGGCTCCTTCTCTTACAATGTTGCTTGTTTCTATTTAACTTACCGTATATTACCGTCTATAAGCAGAATGTTGAGGATAAAAAGCAGTCTGTAGAAGGGGGTCGGCTTATCTATGAGTTACAATTCCGTCAAACTTTTTTCCAGGGGTAAGAAAACAACATCGTATCACTTCGCGTGAACAAACAACAGAAGACAACCTTGTTAGTAAAGACATAAAATTTGCAATGAAACATCACTAGACAAGATTATTTACCTTTTAAGTTCAAAGTTGATTTTGCTGGGCATTGTATTATTTGCAGGGATTAAGATTACCGTCTGTATTTGAGCCGGAAATAGCAATCAGCTGTGCACTCGTTTCCTGGCGATCAAGTTCAAACATGCACAATAATATAACAGGATGAATTCGGACGCAGTCATCAGTAAAATTTAATACAGAACACTATTATGTAACCCAAAAGAAATATATCTTAGCATTGCGTAATTTTAATTACAGTTTTTGTTCTATAAATATTAAATATATATAATCAACACTTAGGTTATATGGACCCTCATGAACGTGGTAAGCGGAAGTTGTACGCACATGGAATGGGGTAAAATATGCAAGCCATTTAAATTCACACATTTTTACCGATGTTACTGTAAACTAGCAGTCCATGGAAAACGAGGCGGTAATCAGTTCGTGATTGTTGATAATATGATGTGAAATTGGCTATCGCGGTTGGAGAAAAAACATACCCTCACAAACCTGGTAAGCGGAAGTTGTACGCACATGGAATGGGGTAAAATAAGCAAGCCAGTTTGTTGACATGTGATCGTCCAGCTACAATAAGTATGATATTTAGCGAAACAAAATATATTATCCATTTTCTGTCAACTACACTTCATTTCAATGCATGAGTAGACACAATAAGATTGTGAATTCTTTGAATAATGTGGACCAAAGATATAATTATTGATAACTGCCAGTTGTCTGTGGTCGGTGTTTGCCAGGATTAGGACCCCATCGCGGGGGATCGGCTAATGTAAGAAACATACCATTTTGACACTGATTTTAAGGGTCAAGTTTGGGGGTCGGCTTATCTAGGGGGTCGGCTTATAGATGGTAATATACAGTATGTATTTGCACAGACTATTAAAGTTGTAGTCTAAGAACGATGTTGCTGTATAGTATTAGAGTATGTGTATGTTGTAACAGTGTTTCATGTCTGTGATTACAGCCTCTGTACTGGCTCCCACTGATTTCTTCTAAGAGAGTGAGAGTGGTTGTATCTATCAAAGACACTGAGACTAAATCGCTGGAGGTGTTGGAATCAGCAGCACTTTGAAAGATAATTATTTTTCCTTATCCTGACTCATGCTTATTGCTTGTCTTCTTCTTCTTGCGAACCTAGTGGAACACGTGTATCTCCCAATTGAAGTTCCCTTCAATAAAAAAATCACTCATTAGTACTCACCACGAGTAACCTCCCTTCCGCAAGCGCGGGAACGAGGGCGCCACCTGCCCCCATGTGCCTCACTCTCCTTCTTCGCCCAGTGAGCTGGACGTGAGAGCCTGTGTCTCCCAACACACTATATCCTTTATTTATATTTAGTTTAGTACCTCTTATACTTAGTATAGAGGTGTTACTAGTATCCTTATTCAATTTTGCATTGATTATTAATCGTGTTTCTGCTGTTTATTCACGGTTCGCCGTGTTTGTTCAGCAGTTTACGTTAATGAGAATCTGCACAGATTGTAAACTACGCTACTCTGCTACAGACCCACATTTAAAATGCCCTAGTTGCATTACTCCATGTTCATTTGTTTCTCGCTGTAAATTTTGTATTAATTTACCAATTTCTGCCTTTGATAAATATTTATGTTCCGCTTTTTAGACGGAAGGCAGATAAATCTCGTGAAACAAATCTCAGTCATGGCTAATAGATCACATATTAATGTTCCCTGTCAACTGTTGACTGATCTACCCGCCACCGCTGGTGGCATGCCTGAGTTTCCCTCGGGGATAAGCGTGGGACGCAGTCCGCTATGTCCAAGAAGCTTACCCGCGCCTCAAGATCTGTCGCCTTCTCAGTCTAAGACTAGCAAAGCGTCCATATCATCTCGTACGCTTCGTACACCCAGGTCTACAACTTCGTCAAAAGGGAAGTCTACAAAATCTAATAATTTTGCCTCTGATATTTTACCAGTCACAGAATTAGCCTTATATGATGATGACATTCCGATTATCATTCCAGAGGTTCGCCACAAGAAACGCCCGTATCCGCGACTGTCACCTCAGCGCAGATTAACACACAACCGAGATGCCTACGCTGTCACCAGAAATTTTGACTGAGGGTCCCGCCACCTTCGCAGAGAGACAACCCTCATCATCAGCGCAGACCGCCTCAGACGCGACCTGGTCAACCAAATCATGAGGCTGATGGAAGACCGTTACGGTTTACAGAGGCCCCAGAGCCACGGGCCCCAGAGCCCAACCCATTTTAAGTCATACAGGGCCCCAGAGCCCGCCTTTGGCTTCGCTGAGAGGGCCCCAGAGCCCACAGACGCGCCTCGCTGAAGGGCATCCCAGCCCGAGCGAGCTCTTTTGCATAGGAAGTCCCAGGCCACCTCCGCGCTAAGGAGCTAGAGCCTCACCTATTGCGGTAGAGGCTTCAAGGAGAAGGAGCGCTTCACCGAGCACGCACCTTGTAATTCACAGAGGTCGCTCGCGGGCAAGCGCCACATGTCGATTCGACACTGACTCGAGACATTCGCTAAGGACGCCAAGGCTAAGTGGTTCCATTTCTACCTCGCCTAGAAGAGCTTCGCTGAAGCCCCCAGCGCGCTCACGTTCAACACCCAGCGCTCGCGAAGCCCCCAGTGTTCGAGAAGCCCACAGCGCTTATGGCCCTCACCGCTCATGGGCCGCCAGCCTTCGCTAAGGATGTCTTCTCAAGGTCTCCGTGACACTAGCCACTCGTCAGTCCGTTCTCCACAGTCCTCACATAGATCTTCCCATAGATCTAGGACTCCGACATATGACCATACGTCCAGAAGAGGAGGATGGTATCATTTTCTCAGATGCTGAGATAAGATATTGGATGGTGAATGAATTACAACTTGCCTCCCCATCAAAGAACGAGGATGCAACTCAGACTTACCTGATGAAGGATGATGATGTAGATTATATCACCTTACCTCCTATTGACCCAATCGCAGCCGCACTCAGCTAAACTAGATACAGCCTGCTCCAAATCCACTAAAGCCCAATCTACTCATTTACCGGTCTTCAATGCCAAGAAATTTGCTGGACATAATATGGAACCCTTTTCAAGGCCCAGGATATTGATGACAACTTTCAACTTATCTCTGATACCAAGTCCAGAAGTTACAGAGTAGACGATCGCAAACTGGCCCAATTAGATACCATTTCCAGGAGGATGTTCTTCAGATTAAATAGGTCTAGAACTATTAATGAGACTCTCATCACCAAGTTCAAGAATTCTACAGATGAGGAAGACAGAATGATCTATTCAGCTCTACTCATGCAGAAAAAAGACCACCAATTCCTTACAGAACACCTTTCAGCTTTACTGAAACTACTACCATGACGCGTAGGCAAGGACTACTAGCCTCCTGCTCTTGGAATAAGCAATTCACAGAGCCTCTTTACACAGCTCCATGGTCATCGCCCTTTCTGTTTGGTGGCAACATAAACAAGGTCTCCAAAGAAGTATCTAAAGATTCCAGAGAGGTACTTATGATTAGATCCATGGATACCTTAGCTTAACGCCTTTAAACAGTCAGCACAGAGATACTCGGGCAAGTCTAAGTTCTCAGGGCTACAGAGAGCACGGGACAAGAAACTAGCTGCTGCTAATAATCCCAAGGATTCTTTTCGTCGCCCATACAGCAAATTTAGAGGAGGATCAGCGAGAGGCAGATCATCCAGAGGTGGCCGTGGATTTAAACGATGAAAGGCAGGTTCGGAACGACTGGAGTCTTCCACCCCCAGTCGTTCCAGTACAACCTTCTCAAGTGGGTGGACGTCTTCAACTACACTGGGAAAACTGGGGAATACTACAAGATCCTTATGTATCCAACATCCTACAGCACGGATATCTCATACAACTCAAGACCAAGCCGCCGTTAACAGTCACCCCACCAAGGTTCAACGTTCAACCGGCTCAACTACCTATGTTAAGAGAAACAGTACAGTCTCTGCTAAACAAACAGGCCTTAGAAGTTCTGGATCAACGAAACATCGCATCAGGTTTCTACTCCCCAGTTTTCCTAGTGCCGAAAAAGAATTCCAAGGAGAAGTATCGCCTCATTTACAACATGAGCACCTTCAACAGAGAATATCTATGCAAACCACCAACGCTTTCGCATGATACATTTACCACAACTTCGCAATTAATTCGGCCCACTAGATTACATGGCCAGCATAGATTTGCAAGACGATATCTACACATTCTGATTCATCCCAGCTCAAGGAAATATCTAAGATTTATCCTAGACGGCATACATTACCAATGGAAGGTACTTCCTTCTCGAATCACTTCAGCCCCTTGGGTATTCACAAGAGTAACCAAGCCTATTGTCTCATACCTACATCGTCAAGGTCTGCGGAGCGCATTTTACCTAGACGACGGTATACAAGTGGATCCAGATCCACAGCGTCTCAGACTACAGCTGAACTTTATAATCAAGTTACTAACTCAATTAGGTTGGTTAGTAAATCTACTCAAGTCGGACCTAGAACCAACGCAGGATCTGCATTTTCTAGGTATACGATTCCTTACAGCTCAGAATCGCTTAGTAGTAGTCCCGAGGACAGATGGATCAAGATCCAACAACTGATTCCCCAAGCCCTACTCTCTCCGCTACCACTACGACAGTGGCAGAGCCTATTGGGACTACTCACATCAGCTCAAGACCTGACACTCAGAGGCAGGCTTCAATTAAGGCCCATTACAAGTCCTCATCAATGCTCATCTCGAGGACCCTCTACCGCTCAGTCTACCAGATTACGCCAAACCACATCTACTCTGGTGGACCAAGAGATTGAATGTTTGTGCAGGCGCCTCCTTAGTAGAGCCGAATCGAAAACACATCTCTACGCAGACGCTGTCACTAAAAGGTTGGGAGCCCACCTTGCCGCAGGACAGCGTCCAGGCCTATGGAGCAAGCAAGAGAGCAAATGTCACATAAATCTGCTAGAGATGCAAGCAGTCATAAACGCCATAAGTCACTGGAGCAACCTACTACAGAACGCTCAGTTGATGATTCACACAGACAATTCAACAGTGGCGTTTTATGTGAACAAACAAGGTTCAACAAGATCACTGAATCTACTCAATCGTTGTTTCAGACTGTTCGATTTAGTCGACAATCTAAACATACATGTCAGAGCTTGCCACATTCCAGGAGCAAAGAATGTTTTAGCAGACGCTCTCTCTCGGCCACACCAACCGTCGCCAACAGAATGGATGCTCCACACAGAGATATTCAATCAAATAATCATGGAAATAGGATCTCCATTGATAGACCTATTTGCCACTCGATTCAACAAACAACTGACAACCTTCGTATCGCCAGTGCCAGACCCACTAGCATGGGCAACGGACGCACTAAGCATATCGTGGGAGGGACTCAACGCGTACGCTTTCCCGCCTCCTGCGTTAATCCCACAAGTCTTACAGAAAATCAGTCAAACGAAGAGCCTCGATCTCATTTTGGTCGCGCCATACTGGCCTGCGAGAACGTGGTTTCCAAATCTCATGCTAGGAATCGGAAAACCAGTACTTCAGCTACCACTGCGCACCAATCTATTGATACATCCGCACACCAAACAAGTGCACAAGACACCAGAAGCATACCAACTTCACGTGTGGATTGTATCAAGGCATGTTTGAATAAGAGAGGTTATTCTGCCAGAGCGGCTAAAGCGGTCACGCTTGCACTACGTAACTCAACTCGTAACTTGTACGATGACAAATGGCACAGCTTTGTCAATTACGCTGCTAAGAAAGGATTTACAGCCAGATATGCTACACATCCTCAAGTGGCAGATTTCTTATGTTACCTACGTCAAACTAAGAATCTAAAAGGCTCAACCTTGTCCACTTATCTTGCAGCCTTAAGTTCTGTCATAACTATGAGAACGGGCGTCAAGTTGACCAAAACACCGGAGTTACTCGCTTTGTTACGAGCGTTCCGATTGGAAGATCAGAAACGGAAGTTTCAAGCTCCAGCCTGGGATCTAAATATAGTACTCCAACACCTCACGAGTGAGGCTTATGAGCCATTGTTATCTGCTTCGTTTGAATCACTGACCCACAAGACCTTATTCCTGTTAGCATTAGCTACTGCCGCCAGGATGTCTGAGATTCACGCTTTGGATTACGAGAGAACACGCTTTGATGATACTCATAACATCGCTCATCTGGGACTCCGCTGGGATTTTATAGCAAAAAATCAACTGCCAGGTCAACCAGACAGGTTGTTCCATGTCCCAGCTCTCTCATCCATACTTGGACCGCATGATACGATGGACCTATCACTTTGCCCTGTAAGTGCACTGAAATTATATCTCCAACGATCCAAGAATAGTAGAGGGAAATTCAAAAGATTGTTTATCCCTATATCCACCGCCACAGACAGAAGTGTCGCAGCATCTACGATTTCTATTTGGATCAGAACTGTCATACTACGAGCCTACAAGGCTGCAGGACTCGACCCTCCAAGAGCTTCTAATCCTCACGAAATTAGAGCGCTAGCCTCAACTCTCGCTCTACATGGAAATTGCTCGTTGAATACCATTATGGAGGGATGTTTTTGGAGATCCGATATGGTGTTTGCCAACCACTATCTGAGAGATATCACCACCAAGGATGTCTCAGGTATCCACCATTTCGGTCCCATGGTCCTCGCTCAACAGTTGACAGTTCCACGGAGAAGATAAGTTTATCTTACAGATTTATACTTATCTGATAACAGTACTAATAGCTACATGCTATCTATATATTGTTGCTAAAGTTAATTTATTATCTTAAGCTCAATACTATGATTCTAAATCATACTATATATATGCTTTCAACTCCTAGGAGTTCTGCTATTATATATATGTTCAGCTTAAGTTATCAATCCTTAAGCTCAGTCATATGTTCAATTCATAACATGTATTAGTTAACAAACTCTAAGTAGTTGGTTACTATTATACAGCTTAAGTTATATTATTTCTTAAGCACAGTACTATTATAGCTTATATATATGCATATTGTAAGCTTAATACTTTGGTTCATTATAAAAGTATTCACTATAAACTCTCAGAAGTTTATACTATCACATTAATGGCTTCAGTTTACCTTAATGTTGTATATACTTTTATTATCTTCACTAAAATTGTAATAACCTTTTATGGCAGCTGATAAGTTAACAGCAGGAATTCTTCAGTTCAGTGCCTTTATGAAGTTCCCATAGGGTTATTACAATTATCTCAGTTCAAAATCACTAATTATTAAAATCCAAAGTATATATAATCCCACCTCCTGTTCCGTCGGATTCTACAAGCAATAAGCATGAGTCAGGATAAGGAAAAATATGAAATTTTTAGAGTAAAATTAATATTTTATACTTATCCTGACTCATGAGGTAAGCCCTCCCGTCCTCCCCACTAAACACTTTGGATTTCTTCGGAAAAATAAAGTGTCAGGCTCAAAACAAATAAGGAGAGAGTGAGGCACATGGGGGCAGGTGGCGCCCTCGTTCCCGCGCTTGCGGAAGGGAGGTTACTCGTGGTGAGTACTAATGAGTGATTTTTTTATTGAAGGGAACTCCAATTGGGAGATACACGTGTTCCACTAGGTTCGCAAGAAGAAGAAGACAAGCAATAAGCATGAGTCAGGATAAGTATAAAATATTAATTTTACTCTAAAAATTTCATTATCCTGATTTGGTCCATCAGAGGTTTCATATGTTCAAACAGAAACATGCTTGCACAGCTGTCCAATGGATAGCAAGTATGTCTTTCTCCCTTCTAACTTTATATGCATGTAAGATAATTGAAGAAAGTGTGTGCATTTCTTACAAAATATTTTGGCAACTGCATCAATGAATTTGTGTTACATTTCTAATGGGAGACGGTTTATCCTCAATAACTGTTTTATGTGGTTAGTATGTTACAAGTTTGTCAGAAGTATATGCATGCTTGAGAGGTTCACCAAAGTGGTACCGGTAAATGTCCAAAATCTGCATGCTTTGCTTGTTTCTAACATATCCGTGACATGCCACGGTAGAGCTGAAATACTGTTCAAAGCTGACTTAAATCCAACTTATTCACTCACTTTCAGAAAACCTTGGAAAGGAGTGGCAAGGAGTTGTCTCCAGCTCAACTGGACCGAGTTGTATCAGCAGAACATAGCCAGAATGCCTTGTTCCTTAAGATTGCCATTTCTGTAAGTCACAACATCCATTAAGTCTACTTAATATTTTAACAGAGGATTCAGATACGGAGGAATACCTTGTAGGATCATCAAGCTCAGTTGTTAAGATAGCATTGAGGAAATCCTGATTTTAGGGCCTAAATATATTTGTGTCAAGTGCATACAGAAACAAAGGTACATTATACAAGGTCATCCAACTGAACTGATGAATAGCGGTATTAAGAAACCATACTCAGAGGCAAAATTGTGACATTTAATTTTTGGTAGGTAATCTTGTGAATGAATTTTGGGATTTTAAACAGAAAAAGAGTGTGTAAAATTGGTTGAAGAAACACAACCAAACAGTTGTTGTTTGAACTGCATGAAATTTGCAAGAAGTGTGACATAGTCAAGAGAAATTTACTAAGTTCACTTTACTAGGCCAGAATACCTTTCCACTCAATGCCGTCCTAAGAAATGTACTCGTGCTTTGAGCGATAATTCAGGGCACAATTGTGCTTTATTACACTCTACATGGTGGTAGAGCAAACTGTATTTCTTTTCTAAGATGCCAAGTTTAATACACAGAGGAAATAATCTAGGCAGTAAAGAAACAGAAAAGCAATGATGTTGGTGACCTAAATTAGCAATCCTCATTCAGGGCTAACTGATGGGCTCTTCCAGTGATGTGTCTGCCCCCTATGTTAAGACGCATGTTTCCAGAAAAACAAATGATAAACAGTTTGATGAAGGCTTATGCTTGGGTTGAATATCTTCTCTTAATTATTTTAATTACATCTGTTATTAATGTAAACCATATGGGGCAATATGAATGTTACATTTCTACTACCAACGTAAGTTTAGATCAGTACATCCAAATGAAGCTGACTAGTCACACGACATTCCACGGATGCATTGTGGGAATATAGACATTGCGAACATTACCGTGTCGCTGTTTAATTTAAGTGTACATTTTATCAGTTGAAAAACATAAACGGAATGTGTCCTTCAGTGATGTTAGCCAAGTGAAGCAACTGCAAACCAAGAAACAGCATGCTACCGTAGGAGGCCGTGCAAGGCAATGACAACTGACATGCATCATGACTTCGGTTACCAAGGGTACATTTGATAACAAGGGGGGCAGACGAGAATGGCGTAATGACGTCAATATGGTGCGAAGTTCATACAAAAAGTGTACTTTATTGCCTGATAAAGTACTGTCGGCGCCTTTGATCTTTTAGCAAAACATCTTAGAAATGATAATAGCTGCAGCAAGGACACTATGATTGTGACTGAGGGGAACTTGAATGCTGTTAAGTACCAAGACAAGATTTTACAAATGGCCCCATGGTTGCAACAAAACAACCCTTTCAACATGATAAGGTACCACAATGATGTTGATGTGTTACCTTGGTCTGCAAGATTTCCTGATTTGTCACCCATTGAACATGTCTTGAATAAAATGGAGAGACGTTTATGACATCATCCAAAACGTCAAAAAACACTGGAGGAACTCAGACATGGAATGATCTTCCCCAAGACTTTCATCAATGTTTAGTGGCCCCAATGAGGTAAAGGTGGCGATTCTGCATCAATGCACGAGGTGGACACACTTGCTACTGACCATGTAAACATGGTCGTGTTGAATATGCCAGATGTGCTATTCTTATAGAGTGTTCATTATTACCATACCTTAACATACCATAACATTTGTCTTTTCATTATAACATTTCACTGGAAGCAGTCAATATGTTCACAATGATTCTGTTAGTTGTTTGTGTCACAATAACTTTTGCCTTTGAGTAGATTTCGGTAAAAAGGGATTTTGACTATAACAATGTCTAGGTAAATGAAGTTTAATTGTACACTTGGTCTGTTATTGGTGTGTTTGTTTCTTGTTTCAGGAGCTGTCTGTGTTTGGCTACTTCCGACAGCTGGACCAGAAGATTGACTCCCTCATCAAATGTAATGGGTGAGTTACATTACTGATTTCTCAAGAAGTGTATTAAATAAAGTAGAATAATCATAGAACTGTTAGATACTTTCACAATTATTTTCCATTTCATGTTGTTGTTACAAAGCTGTAGCCTGCAGTGTCAAACATGGAATGTTCAGTGGTTGTCAACATTAACATTTACACCAACACAGCATTGCATCTCGCTGTGTATTTCCAAACATTGCACATTTTGATCAGTTAAAGACACTATTTCAATTATATCCGTGTCATTTTGAATACCCGCCGTTATGTTGCTGGAATATTGCTAAAAGCGGCGTAAAACCAAACTCAGTCAGTCATTTTGAATACAGTTTCAGTAAAACTGAGTGTAAGATATAAATAAAGCTTGTTGTCTGGTTGATATCCTGAAATCATTTCTTTTGACTTGGGTAACAGTATTGTCAAGCATAGGATAGTCACTGATACAGTTTTTCCTTAGTTGACAAAGCAAACTTACTGCAAGTTTACCTACCAATGTTTCTGTAAAATCACACAAAGTTACAAGAACATTGACTGAGGACTGCATCAGTCATGGCCTAATCAGAACTGCTGATGGTGCATAAGACAAATGCTATATCCATTTTCAGTACCAGGGTTTTGCCACGTTTGATACCTACATTTTAGAAGTTGAAAGGTTACATGACCCACACTGAGCAAATCCAAGAGGCAGCACTGCTAACTTATTTGTTCTCAACTGTTGCATGTGAAAACTCATTGGCAATACAGGAACCTATTCACTATCGCTGCTTTAAAGTGTAATGGTCTTCTGATATGAACTTTGAGTCTGTTCTGTGTCCTATCAGGGTTGGTGAGCTGTTCAACAAATATCTGTCTCGTCTTGAAAGTGACTACAATGTCAAAGACTATGAGGGCAATCTGGTTCAAAAGGTGAGTGATATATGGAAAAGTAGATTATTATTGTGACCTTGCCACCAGATCTGGGTCTTCCTCTTGCTAACTTGTTCTCTGTGGCTCACATGTGTCATGTGATGCTTCACCTTCTAGAGCTGGAACAGCTGATAAGACCATATTATTATCTTTGCATCAATCTTCAAGATGCATTTTTATTCATCTCTATTCATCAGGCAGAAAGCTGCAGCAACATCATCAGAAATGGGTGACCTTATTGGCTTTTCAAACCAACCAATTAGTAGAATGCATACAAAATATCTATTGAAGTATTATGTAAATACTATTTAGCTTGAGTTTTATACATTACATAATTGCATGTTATACTACCAACATGGTGACATACTGTGATGGTGTGCACAGGTGATGATGGCGCTGATGGTGTCACATGAGGGCATGTCCGAGAATGAGTTGATGGAGATCCTTCACATCCCCAACCATATCTGGTCCCCACTTTATTTTGCCATGGAAACCTACATTGTGGACAGATCTGGAGTGCTGGGGTAGGTGGTTGTACCTGGTGTTCAGGGGCAGATCACTCTGTCCAGGGTGGTGTCCAGACGATGGAGTAGGTTGTTATGTCAGAGTTCTGAGGTACGTCATGCTGGGGTAAATCATTGCATTTTGGGTACTGGGTTAGGTCATTGCATCAGCAATGTTGGAGTAGGTTGTTGTATCTCAGGATGTTTAAAGATGTCAAAAGATGTCAATGCTCAGAATGTGTATATATGTAAACATCATTTCAGTTATTCAGCATAGACTATTCTTTTTCTTTCATGGAATTTTGTTTGTTTGGGTTTCAGTTTTGCATTTGAAGAATTGAAAGATGCTGTGACCTCAAGATACATGAAGAGCCAGGAAGACAGGTAAGTTTTGAATCACCTGAGGTTTATGGATTTTGTGGACCCTAAATATTGAAAGAATCAGAAAAGAGGTTCAAAGATTAATGTTTGTGCAACATTCTTTTTTGTGCAGGTTCAACTGTAATCTAACAGGTTAAACAATGATGCAGCACAATACTAATGGCAACATGTTCAGATAGAAGCATTTGCTTTTTTTTTTTTTTGTCATTCATGCCTGATTAACTGGCTCTTTCCTCAGGTGTGCATGATGGTATTCTGAACACCTTAAAACTTGCTTTTTTTCATTTCAGGATTACTGCAACAAAACCAATCATTGACTACTTTAATGCCAAAAGAAAGGTATAAGTTTGGATCTTTGCACCCTGTTTCTCTTGATGTGAATGCACAATTTCACTATAGGTGGTGCTTGAACAAAAGATGTCAGATTTGATAGGAGTTTGAAGTCTAGACTTGTCTCCTGTTTGCAAGCCAATGAGATATTGCCATAAAATATTCTCACAGATATGCCACCTCATTTCAGTATATGTATTGTTAGTCTGTTTTTAATGACAGTTTTGCTCATTGTCCAGTTATTTTCTGTTGTGGTGAGTTGGTGGACAGGAAATGTGTTAACTATGAAGCTGAACACACAGAAGCCTTTAAGTGTAACAACTTTGTCTTGAAATAATCACCAAACAATTTAGGTGAACTACACAGCCAATTTAAATCTTCTTGACAATACCTGCTGATCTGTTGCAAACTTTGACTGGATATTATGACATCACAGTTTTGTATCACTACCACTGAGATGGCCATAATGTGATTTGTGTACTGTATTGATGCATGTCATCAGTGTTTTTAAAATATGGAAAGAGAAGGTAATAACTTCAATTAATTTAGTTGATAGAGGGCAGTTAGTTGGACATAGAGAAGATATGAATTGATGTGACTGGAAGTCATGTGAATATATATAAAATAAATAGAAGTACAGTAGAATGCAGCTTATTTGGACACCAAATATTTTATCCCGTTTTTGCAATGAATGAGTACTACATAATGCTTCTTTTATCTGGAACACTGGTTTCCTGATACAGACAGTGAATATCAGTTACCAACAGTGCAATATACACCCTGTCCCACTTACCGGACAGGACCATGCTTGAAGTTGTTGCTTTGGCAATTCATCAATTGGCAACCATCATCAAAGGGGCAGGTATCATTCATTACCAGGGTAATTAGGTTCTTGTCTCTTAATATTAGTTGGGCACTTGGTCATTGGTCCAGTCTTGCAGATACAAGCCACCGTTTGTCAAATGTATGCTTTAACCTTTGTTTCAGAATTTTCATAACATCACTGGCATGATTGACAAGGACAGAAGGCGAACAACAAATGAGTTGCCATGGTTACACAAAGACATTGAGGACTGGGAGGGCCTGGCCATGGCTTTGTCTGACTTGTGTATATTTAGTAGATTGTACAGGTATGGTTTCCAATGTGTTAGGTAGTTGCTAGGGGGGCAAGTGAAGCAACCATTTCTTGGCTATCTTGACTGAATAGCTGTCAGGGAGCTGCAATAGATAAAAATCAAGTCAAATGAGGGTCTTGTCTGACATTTAGAAGAATGCTTTCAGCCAGTATTGCAAAGTTACCCAGTGATCTGATGACATTCATAAAGATTTGCAACTGTCTTAGCACATTTGAAAAAACCACCAAAAGGGCTGTATTATTATAACCTTGGTCATGTTGTGAGTATGTCCAGTCATTAATATACAGAAGCCCTAGCAAAATAGCACCATGGCAATCTCAGCTTGTAATAGAATGTGACGAAATGGATAGGATTACTTAGTTGATTGCTTGGCATCTTACCCCAGTTGAGTGGATTGATTCCTGTACAATTAATCATTGGATTGTCTCGTCCAGCCTTGTAGCTAGAATAGTGTGGTAAACACATTAACAGATATTTCTTGTCTGATCGAAAGGAACATTTGCCTATTACAGTAACATCTGATGAGTTTGTCATTCATTCTACCATGACTACGTGAAATACTCAAATTTGGTTGGACAATCAATAAAATTTGACACTATCAATTCTGAATTGAAAATGCATCTGATTTCATGACCTTCTTCACTGCACAGGTATAAAACACTGCCGCACTACTTCAGCTTGGCCACCAACATGGCTAATATCAACACAACAGATGTGATGGAAATGCTTATAAAACATTTATAAAACTCGAAAAATACAATTATATCATTTTTCCTCCACATTATTAGGGAACCTCACTATCACACTACCTTGTATAATAAAAATATTCAAACTCAATTACAATGCACAGCCCCAACATAAACAGACAATATCTAACTTATAAATCAGAAAACCTTGTAAAAATACATCCCTACATACAAAATTTGCAGAAAAACGTTAGTAAACATTTGCCTACCTGGTAAATGGTATATTTGTTTTTGTTTAGAATGGAAAATTCACAGGACAACAGTCAGGCGAAACACCAAATTTATGCCACTCATACTCCATCATACTTCTGCTCTCTGTCAGCTTCCCGCAAGGCTGTCACTGCTGGTGATCTATGTTCGTACACTTTGAAAATAGCTTGGCCACAATCCAGTCCCAAATGATGAATGCTATTTCCAAGGAATCCCAAGTTAGGCGCATGTACACAAATCATTGCGTTAGGCCAGCACTGTCACTCTTTCGTTGCATGCCAGGGGCACGTTCATGAAATTATGATTGAAACTCGATGGCCATAAAAATCAACAGTCTTTGATGAGTTACAACACTGATTTGAGGGTTGATCACAAAAGGATCTATTCTTTCGATTCTGCAGGGTTTAGATTTGACAGTCAGGAAAGTATTTTCTCCACTGGCCACTTCAAATTTCAACCTTTCGCTAAATGTAAACACTGGCTTGTCCGCCATTTCCAACTGTTGCGTAACAACTACTTCCAAGAAAATAAGTAGGTCAGACGATTCCATTATAGTGTTGCCAGGGAGTGTACAGTAACACGGCACACAAAACAATAAGCTTGTTTCATTCATGTGAAGGTGGGCTTTTTAAAACCAAGCTCTTAAGCATTACATTATTGCATTGAATAAACAGTAGTTTGTTTTCTCTGGACAGAATATTTTTTATGTTGCCATGTATAAAACAATACGAACGGCGCCTACCACTCTCTTTACAGACAGGCTCAATTTGCCTCTGGTCCCATGCCGAATTTTGCAGTGACTTCTGCAGAATGAACAAGTTTGATTTTAAGTCGGCAACGCCACACATTCGGCTTCAAATGAAATTTAGAGACTATCAATTCGGCCTAACATTCATCTAATTTCCAAACACAGTATGTTTATCTCCTAAGTGAAAGAATAGAATGATGGCTGCACTAGTTACACAAGTGTTACTTATTACAACAACCTTTGCATAACATGCACCTTCACAATGACCCATAAGACTGAATGAAGACTCTCTCTGCCAAGACATTTGGCCACCTTCTTGTGAAAATTTTACTTTGCATTTATTAAATGCTTCTGTTTTCCCCGATAGGTGAATCTGGTATTCAAGGACCAAAAAAGATCTGAACAAGATAGTTCTTGATGACCATAATTTAGCAGTAATTGTATCAATGATTATGTCATGACTTTGACATGATTCTGCAGTACTTGATTTTGAAGTCATTTTGACATGCTTTTCATATTTAGTATTGTGTTGTGTCAGTGGGTTTTTTTCATGCTTAAACAAATGTTTTAGAAGTTTGGATGTACATGACAGAGTTTCATGAGTGCGACGTTTCGATACAGATTCTTGTACCATTGTCCTGCTTGTCCTGCTTCAGAAGTTGTTATCCATAAAGTTTGTTCAATATTAAACGAATGTTGTTCAGTCATTTCATGCTTGTAACTGTGTCATACAGTGTTTCTGTCATGCTATGTTTATTATGTCATCCAGTGTTTCTGTCATGCTTCAGTGATGGTGTCATCCAGTGTTTCTGTCATGCTTCAGTGATTGTGTCATCCAGTTTCTGTCATGCTTCAGTGATGGTGTCATCCAGTGTTTCTGTCATGCTTCATTGTTTGTCATCCAGTGTTTCTGTCATGCTTCATTGTTTGTCATCCAGTGTTTCTGTCATGCTTCAGTGATGGTGTCATCCAGTGTTTCTGTCATGCTTCAGTGATGGTGTCATCCAGTGTTTCTGTCATGCTTCAGTGATGGTGTCATCCAGTGTTTCTGTCATGCTTCATTGTTTGTGATCCAGTGTTTCTGTCATGCTTCAGTGATGGTGTCATCCAGTGTTTCTGTCATGCTTCATTGATGGTGTCATCCAGTGTTTCTGTCATGCTTCAGTGATGGTGTCATCCAGTTTCTGTCATGCTTCAGTGATGGTGTCATCCAGTGTTTCTGTCATGCTTCATTGTTTGTCATCCAGTGTTTCTGTCATGCTTCAGTGATGGTGTCATCCAGTGTTTCTGTCATGCTTCAGTGATGGTGTCATCCAGTGTTTCTGTCATGCTTCATTGTTTGTCATCCAGTGTTTCTGTCATGCTTCAGTGATGGTGTCATCCAGTGTTTCTGTCATGCTTCAGTGATGGTGTCATCCAGTGTTTCTGTCATGCTTCATTGTTTGTCATCCAGTGTTTCTGTCATGCTTCAGTGATGGTGTCATCCAGTGTTTCTGTCATGCTTCAGTGATGGTGTCATCCAGTTTCTGTCATGCTTCAGTGATGGTGTCATCCAGTGTTTCTGTCATGCTTCAGTGATGGTGTCATCCAGTGTTTCTGTCATGCTTCAGTGATGGTGTCATCCAGTGTTTCTGTCATGCTTCAGTGATGGTGTCATCCAGTGTTTCTGTCATGCTTCAATGATTGTGTCATCCAGTGTTTCTGTCATGCTTCAGTGAAGGTGTCATCCAGTGTTTCTGTCATGCTTCATTGTTTGTCATCCAGTGTTTCTGTCATGCTTAATTGATTGTTGCGTTCAGTGTTTCTGTCACGCTTCATTGATTGTGTCGTTCAGTGTTTCTGTCATGCTTCAGCGATTGTTTCATCCAGTGTTTCTGTCATGCTTCAGTGATTGTGTGATCCAGTGTTTCTGTCATGCTTCAGTGATTGTGTGATCCAGTGTTTCTGTCATGCTTTAGTGATTGCGTCATGTGTCAATATTTGCAATTGGTTGTGTCTCAGGGAGAGAGAGTATGACCTTCTGGAGCTGTGGAAGGCTACAAAGATGTCCTTCAACACTGTAACTTCCATGTATATGGCCAGCATGGACCGGTACATTGTCGACAGATATCTGCTGATACCCGACCATGCGGAGGACGAGGAACCCCCAGGTCTTCTGGTAAGTGTTGCTGTATTACAGTGTGACTATATAGTGATATTATTCATTATGGATAATAGTTATTTCAAAATGACTCGCTTGTGGAAATGCATGCTCATCAAATCTGTACTCTGACTGATCGTGTTGATTGTAGTGACAATGAGTGTATGTAGAAGGTAAGAACTCATTTGTTGTGCTTCAGTGACATTGAGTTTACTCTTGGTATGTCATGCTTCAGTTGCTGGAAGTTTTAACAGAATTATCCAATTTCCTCAACCTGGCAGCATGTGTAAAGGGGAGAGAAATTGTCATCCGGCGCCATCTCAACATACTGGTCAGTGTTAACCATAGCTTGTCATAAACTCATCAACATATGTCCATTTTTGGCTAAACCTTGAAGTTTTTGTATATTGAGAGACACTTACAAGAGTTTCTAATGAGAATTTTCACAGGACAAGTGTCAAGTTATTTTTTATTTCTTCACCAAGACATTCCCTGCTGAGTATCAATAATTGATAAATCACAATAGAAACATGACATGAAGTTGTAACACAGTGAATAAAGAAAGACATAGACTGTAGGCATTGTAGATTTCTATCCTTGAATAGGAGGTATGTTCTGTAGTTTGAGGACATATAGGGCTGTTTTTGCCTGTGATGTGAGACAGTCCATCCTTGTTGTTTCAGGAGAATGTTAAGGGGAAAAAAGGCATGTCACATGCTAAAATCCTTGCAGAGACCACGGAAACACAGCTCTCCTTAGCCAATCTCTTGGTGGACATTGGCCGCTATGAAGAAGGCGTAGAGCTACATAGCAGTGTCAGGGATTACTGTCAAAGGTGAAGGTCACTGATTGCTAAAGTATGCTTAATGTTACCATAATTATAATGGCTGCTTTGTTGACAGTTTATGATGATGACTACACATCCTGATAAGCCGTGGCACTATTTTGCTAATTTTACTCATTTTTAACTTACCGTACCATAGGTCTATTGCATATTACCCGAAGCTGCGCTTGAAAGACATCAGATAGTCGTTGATTCGCCATTCCTGTAGAATGGCTGCCTCATGTATCGACGAGTGTATAGTAACAGAAGTCACTTGATCTCCCCTCCCGCACATGCGCGGGTGATCCAAAAATCACTTTTACTGAAAGCGTGCTACGAGCTAGATGTTGTTGTTTTTCGCTGCTACTTTCTTTATTACAGTTTAAATACGTTTGTATTTGTTTTCTGTGCATGACTCGACAGTATTGCTGTGTCTGCAAGGTTCTGAAGTCAGCCAAAGATCCCCACCCTTGGTGTCCGGACTGTGCGTCTGACAACTGTTCGCTCGCTGAGCGCTGTGTGTTCTGCACTCCTTTGACGGTTCATGCCTTCAAGGCTTACGCTGCTGCCAAGAAGGAGTGGTTTTCTCAACGCAAGAGGAAGATGGATTCTCCTGCTTTGTCTTTCAGCTCCCGAACGTCACTCCCACGGACGCCCGATGGCCGCACCTCTTCAGCGACAGAACAAACTTCCAACCGGGAAACTACTCCTGCGCCTCGGGCGATGACGCCCGAAGCCTATGTCATCCGGACCTATCACATCCGGATGCCTTGTCTCACGAGGAGGTTCAGAAAATCCTACAGACGCTTCTTCTACCTTCAGCGCCCAGCACTAGTGCGAATGCCGAAGCCACGCCGTTCCCGCACCGACCCCCTCGACACCCAGCACCATTCCAGCGACGACGCCCGCGGCACCCAGCGCCGTTTAAGCGCCGACGCCGACACCGACGCCGACGCCTCTACAGGATTACCACAGCCCAAGACGGGCACCTTCATCTAAGGCTTCAACAGAGCAAGACCTGCAACGCCAACTGATTGAGGAACGCTCCCGACGCTTTGAAGCCGAGCACTCCCATCGTTACAGACGTTCTCATTCACTGTCTCCCAGACATCGTCACTGCTCTTGAAGTCCTCGTCACACTTGCCGCCGTCGGTTCAGCTCCAGATCCCGTTCACCTAGACGGTCAGACGACAGGGAGAGGCGCTCCAGATCGCACACTCGGACGTCAGGGAGGCATCACAGATGATCGCGTTCAAGGTCGCCGCGACGCCCACGCTCTCTCCCTGGAAGCATCTTTCAACACTGGACTCCAGACGACATCTGTTTCCCAGCCCCCAACGCCTTCCGCTTCCGGTCTCCGTTATGACGCGCCTGCTGTGACTTGGGAGGACGCAGAGGAGCGTTATTTCTCACCCGAATAGGATGAAGAGGTGGTAGGAAACGGGGATTATGGGGGTACTTACCTCCCTCAGTCTGAAGTTTTTGCTTGGATTGCGGATAGGCTCCCGGATTGCCCTTCGCCTTCTACTGACACGATTGACCTGAAGGCCATCCGTTTCTCTCCGGAACTCCTTGTTCCGCCGCACCCGATGGACGCCGATGCAGTTCGCCGAGCTTTCTCTCAACACTGCCATTAAAGCCCCGAAGTCTCGTAAGGTGGATTACAAGATTCACAGCCTTGATTGCGCCGATGGTGGTGCTGCCCTAGATGAGTCTCTCAAACGCCTCTCGGATTCTCCTCAGTCAAGGTTCAGGATTCGAGCAGCAAGCCATTGATGCCAAACTCTAACGCATGCTGAAGCCTGTCTCAGCCTTGGCCTCAGCCACTTCAGCGGAGCACCTCACTACTTTATTCCAGTGGCAGGGCAAGGTGTTGCATGACCTGCTGGCTCACCTTAGGACGGCACTAGCCATGACCACAGTAGTTCGTAGGACTGGGTTCCTGGGATCTTGCACTTGGCAAGAAGAGTTTAAGAGGAAGCTACTGAGGGCCCCTTTTGCTTCACGTTTTCTGATGACAGGATTCCAGATGTTAAAATACAGTAGCTAGCGTCACTTTACCCAGATGCTATGGGTTGGGACTTGCCTGGTTGATTGACATCCGTGTTGTCCGTTTTTTGTCATTATTGCATTGTGGGTAGCATTTGCAATGGCGGACTACTGTTTGTTTACCGGAGACTTTTGATGATACAGTGACTATGAAGTACCCTGACAAACTTGTCTTGGTCCCACGGAGCGGATACCTATCCCAGCCTTTAATTGCCAGTGATGATGAACGGTGCCATTCCTGGTAAGAGTGATTATGTCGAGTTTTGTCAGTCATCCGAGAGAAGCAGTTTACCAAGGGTGTCAGACAGAATCGCCCAAGAACGCTTTCACTTGGCTAGGGTTACTCAGTGTTTTAGCTTAAGCCCTCAGTTCAGAAGTCACTGCAGCTATGTCCGGACTGTCCACAAGCATCAATTTTAATACCTTCGTTTCCCTTATGAACGTTCCTGGGGTCACTGGTCTTTTTACCTCCACCATTCCATCAACTTTACAACTGTTCCGGTAGACTGATGATCCCTTGCCTCGCATCTACTAACTTTTCCCTCCATCTGGCGGACCGACACTTCATTTGGCGAACCATACGCTCCTGCGATCACTGATTATACGGCCCACATCACTATGTGTACAATGTGAACGTTCCTGTATATTGACTGACAATCTCCATGCCACAAACCTACTACATTCAGCACTTCTTCAGTACTGTCATACTGGCTTGACTAATCGAATGTATCCTATCTCAGGAGAGATTTCTTCTTCAGTGGCAGTAGTTGCTAGGTCTTTTGATATCAGCTCAAGCCTCAACGTACAGAGGCCATCTCCTACTTCGGCCGATACAGCGAATTCTACGCCCGGATCTCGAGGCCGTCAATTGAACCCGAAGGAATTGAGTTGCTTTCCAGAACCGCTTCATCCAGTCCTTCAGTGGTGGCTCGACGAACTGAATGTCCATGCTGGAGTTTCTATGGTACCCCTAGCGCTTTCGCAAACCAGGTTCTTCGTCAGTTACAGACCTTTTTCTTTTGACGTCAGCTCAAGTTGTGACTCTGAGGGGATAGCTTCAACTACGCCCTCTCCAATATTTTCTGTGTCCGCACATCAGGATCAGTGACCCTCACGCATTGATCTTTCTTTCTCCGGTGTTCCATCCCCATCTCCAGTGGTGTTTGGACGTGTTGAATGTTTGTGGCGAAGTCTCTTTAAGACCGTTTGCTCCAGTACATCACCTGTATGTCACATCAACATTGTGGAGCTCAGGGCAGTGATTCTTGCGATCACTCATTGGCATCACCTGTTACAATCAGCCAAGCTTTTGATTCAATCAGACTATGCTGCAGTCGTGTGGCACATCAATCGAATGGGATCCACGGGGTCTCCTCAGTTTCTTCAGTAGACACAACAGTTTTTCCACTTAGTGGCCTCTCTCAACATCACGGTCCAGGCCAATCACATCCCGGGGATGACTTGAACGCGTATGCATTTCCACCAGTGGCACTACTTCCACGCATACTGCTCAAGTTACGCACGACGCAGCGGATGACACTGATTTTGGGTCGCATCTTTTTGGCCCGTCAGAAGTTTGTTCCTAGACCTGCAAGACTTTGTCGACCCATTCCAGTACCACTTCCCGATCATGCCGATCTTCTGGTTCATCTTCACTCTGATCAGCTGCATTGGTCTCCGCTCGCACTTAATCTTCATGCCTGGTGCATTTAGATGAATCGCTAACTTCAAAGGGATATTCCAAGCGAGTTGCTACGGCGATTACCACGGCGCACCGAACTTCTACCTGGCCACTCTGTGATGACTTTGGAAGAATTTGAAGCCTACTGCAAGAAATGGGTATTATATCTCCCACTACAGCATCGCCTCAGATAGTCACGGAATACCTCCAGCATCCTAGAACTTCCGAGGAAATGAAAGGTTCTACCTTGTCTACATACCTGGCCATGCGTAACACAAAGTCCTCCCTGGTTTGAGGTGGGATCTCGTCGCTGAACCAGTTGCCTGGACAGCCGGACAGACTATTCGCCTTCCTGCCGCTGTCTACTATCCTGGGCCCTGACAACACTGAGGATCTCTCCCTATGTCCTTTCCGGACTTTATGGGTCTTGTAGTTGCCTCCAAGGACCGTCGTAGGTTACACAAGAGACTGTTAATTTCATCTGCCTCATCTACAGAAGTCTCTCGTATCACACTGACCTTCTGGATGCGATCTACCATCCTTCATGCCTACGCATATGCAGACCTTCCTCCTCCTACTACGGCCAACCCTCATGAAACAAGAGCCTTGACCTCTACGATGGCGCTACATAGAACTGTTCCCTTCACGGCATCATGGAGGGTTGTTTTTGGAGTTTGGACACGGCCTTCATCTCACCCTACCTCCGGGATCTGTCTGTCACTGACGTGGAAGGTCTTCACCACTGGGTCCTTTGGTTCTGGCACAGCAGTTGTCATCGGCTTACAAATGCAGATAAGATGCAGTTCCTACCTTCGTGTAGGTTTTGCATTCTCTATATCATGAAAGATATCGGTCCTATCTTTCTTATTGGTATGGATTATATTTGGGCATAGACCACCTCACCTAGGGAACTAGGGCGTGTCTGCACTGTCATAGATATGACTTGATAGACTGAGAGGCCGGTCTTGTGCTACATGCAGAGGCTGTCGACACTCCGCTTACTGACCTCTACTCTCTGAGCAATTACGTCAGTAAAGTGTTAATTTCCGATTACCTGCGTGGTTTTCAAAGTGTTCCGCTCCTAAGTCCTTTCTTCCTTTGGTAAGTTAGGGGGATTGGTACTGAACGTTGAACCAGTTGAGCAACCGGGCTATTCCCTCTTTCACGGCCTTCCAGCGTGTGTCTGTGGGGGGTAGTTTCAAAGCAGGGACTGTCCAGATTAAGATCTTTGAATTCAATTCACTGGGGTCACTTGATAAATCGCGGGGATGCGGGGTCCACTTGCCAAACTGTGTCCTTTTGCTTGTCAAAAGTTGCGGCTGAAAACCACATTAATTTGGGACTGCCCACTCCCTAGAGTTTTTGTGCTGTGTAAGCTAAGGGGTTATCAGAAGCAACCCATCAGAAGTTCGGAGTTAGCATATCGGGAGCTGGTGCTTTCACCTGGCCTCCTTGTGTTATGCGACCTCACGGTTGTATAGTTGACACAGGGTAATCTGCAGCCCACCAGCCAACCGTGCGATAATGCATACCGTGAGATAGGATAAGTTTAAAAATTTGGAAATTTTACTATAAGTTGTATATTTATATACTTATCCTATCTTATGCGATGGATACCCACCCGACCTGCCCCACATCACAGATTACTGGACACTCCAAGACGAGAATGACAGGCACAGAACGTCACGTGATCATCTGAGCGATCGGCACGCTTATTGAGATGATTGACAGGTCTGTTATCGGAGTAGGGGTCAGAGGCAAGGAAGTTTTGATTCAACTTAGCCTACAGCATGTTTCCACACATGGTCGTAGAAGAAGAAGAGAGGTGCATACCGTGAGATAGGATAAGTATATAAATATACAATTTATAGCAAAATTTCCAATATCTTCTCAACACAGAAACAGTCAAGCTCTTGTTGCAAACCCTTGTTATATCACAACTTGACTACTGTAATGCTCTCTGCTTCAGTAGCCCAGCATCTCTGCTATCTAAACTTCAGAAAATCCAAAACACCTCATTACTCATTCTCGATGCTCTTGCCACATATCTCCAAGCTTGCAATCCCTCCACAAGTCACACATCAAACAACACATTACGTACAAAATTATTCTTCTGACTTACCATTGCATCTATGACAATGACGTGTGTATCCATCTTAAAGATTTCATTACCATTCACAAGCCCTGCTGATTTTGTTTTGTGGACCAGTTCCTCCTATTTATTCCACTCAGCACAAGCATGGGTGACAGAGCTTTCACTTCCACAGCTCCCAACCTCTAGAACAATCTTCCCCTATCTCTCGAATCACCAGTAGCAACAACAAACTTCAAATCAGCTCTCAAGACATGTCTTAATCTTCAAGCATTCTAAAACTGACTATGTACCTTTGTTTTTGTGAGCACCTTACTGATGGATTTTTTGGCGCTATAGAAATGCATTATTATTATACTGGACTCCATCCTTATGCTTTATTCATACTGATTGCCTGATAAATGGGGTATTACTGAAAGGGGTTTGTGCTCTTCAGTTAGATGTATACAATTGACTTTTATATAAAAAAACTCATTTGTATGTTTATTCCACAGAATGCTGGATGAAAGAAATGACCAAGAGACTTATGAAGTGCTTCAAGCGTCTTCTTTCAGTGGCATTGGTATGGCTTACTTGTTACAAGGGATGACAGAAAAGGTAGGACATGAGGCTGTTACATCATATCCTCTCATGATTAAAAAGTTCATAAAATCAAAATGGCAAGATACATTTTGTTCATTCCATGTAGACATAACCACATTTAAATAATGTTTCCTTGAATTTTTTAAACCTTATTTTGGGGTAATACCACTTTGCTGAAAACTGTCTACTTACCATGGGTTTGCTACAAACAGGAATGTTCATCAAAAGATAATATCATCTCTTTGGAGACATTTTCATTTTGTCACTCCTATTGTATGCACCTTCAGTTGGTTGCTAAAGCTTTACTGTGGTTTTCAGTTCAAACAGTCCCAATGAAATCATACCCTGTAAAAGGACGTTTGCTAGTGGCCATTACGGTTTGCTGTGTACAGAGTAACGGCTTGCTACGGATGAATAACATTGGTTGCGTCATGGTGACAGGTACATTTTTGTCCCCCGCCGCAACGCGGAACGGGGGATTATGTATTCAGTGGCTTCCCGATTCTTGTTATCGCGATATCTCATGAACTGTTGTACCCAATGTCTACAAATTTGGTGACAGCCTACATTGGGGGATTATGCAGACACCAGTCAATTTGGGTGACCTTGACCTTATTTTCAAGGTAACCCGACATTTTTACCACTTTTCAAACTTTTATTAACGCGATATCTCATGAACTGTCGTACCAAATGTCTTCAAATTTGGTGACAGCCTACATTGGGTGATTATGCAGACACCAGTGATTTCAGGCATCTTGTATGTGACCAAAAATAAAAAGTAGTAAATATTTTATAAATATTCCATTCTTTAGCGGCGGGGGACATTGCCATATTAGTGGCAAACACTTGTATCATATATATTGATAAAATCTTGTCAATCATAGATAGCCAGTGTTTAGATGAAGTATTTGAAAATGAGAATGTGTTCAAAGGAATTGTTTTAAATGTGAATTTACGCATTTATGAGCCTTTGATTCCAAACAGAGTTGATGCTATTAAATTTTATTTATTTATTTTTATCTATTATTCAACTTGTATATTTATTTTCAAGAAGCATTACCATAACATGACTGTTAACTGCATTGACCGTAATATGTCAGGAAAGGCTGATATGACATAATATTCACAACATTTTTATAAATTTGATATTATGGTCGCTAATGGTAAGCCATGTGTGTAAATACGGTTTGCTGTCTGTTACCAGTTGACAATGGTCACAATAATAGTGAAATCAATACATTAACAATTCTTGCAGTTTGTATCCATTTCAGAGCTGATTTAACTTCAAAATAGCAAGAACATGAGATATGATGATTGATTTTATGTCATGAGGAATTGTTTCACAATTTTTTTAATTTAAAATATTCAAACTTGATATCTCCCAACTCAATCTGTAACCTGTTTTCCAATGAACAGTGACATCTTTACCATACTGCATATTCATTGTAGATTGGCATGAAAATCATTTGATTACATCCATGAATAAATGGAATGTGATATTTTCTTTTGGGAATGTTTTGTCGGCTAACATGTGACAGAAACTTTTCCATTCTGAATAACTACCAACTTCTCTTGAACAATCTACAATTGATGGTAATAATTGAATGATTTCGGCCATTTCATTTTCAATATCTTCATCAACACTCTCATATGGTGAGTCTGAGGTGTCACTACTAAGTTCGCCACCTTCACCTCCGAAAGATTCATGACTTTCATCATCACTAATTTCTTTACTAGAAAAGACCGTACTTATGTGGGATTCTTTACCACCACTTGTACTTGTTTCTGCCTGCACACTGGATTCATCTGAGAATGTCTCACTTTCACATGCACACAGTGTGATTTGCTTTTTATCAGGTGATGGGACTACTTTTTGTCCCTTGTTTCGAATTTTTATAGGGACAACTTTGATATTTTGGTCACATATTACAATTTTCATGTCAGTGGCGATGTATGTTGTTTTGACAATTAAAACCAGCCATTATTTCCATTTGATGCCAAAACATACCAAATAACATCAAATTTTTATACAATTCTTGTAACATTTGGTCCGATTTTTAGATCAAGTTATGACATAATCATTAAGTTATCAAAATACAATAAATTTGCCCCCCAAAAAGCATAACGTTTGGCTTTACTTACACAATTTGTGCGGCAAGACCACATGATGAAAAGTAATTTCAGCTGTAGCGAGACATTACTCTCAACATAGCAAACCATAATGGCCACTAGCAAACATCTTATCGCTGGTGCGTATTACAGGGTGTGAAATTATCCAGACATGGGTTGCCTACTAACTTCCCATTTCCTCCACTGTCCAGTTTTTGTCAAAATTCGGAAGCATCAAAGTTGTTTAGACAGCTGAGATCTGGAGCCTGGAACATGAGTTTGGATCAACATCGGTGAATTGTTATCACCATGAGTGGGAGCTGCAACCCTTTATTAGCCTACACATCTGGGCATTAGGACAGCGTGGGGGTTTATGCATTTGCTAAGCAATGTGAATGTAAATCACCAGTCTCTAAATATTTGTTCAAATTCATGATTTTTTACCACCTACCTTAACCCCTATTGTAATACATGTAAATTAGTTTGGTGCCTCGACTCTTACGCTGTCATTTTCTTTACCCTGGTTAACCTCAATAGCTCCCTTCCCCTATCATAAATGGCCAGTCCCTTACACTGTATTAAGAACATGATACATGCCACAAAGGTGTAAAGCCCAATCATTAGTTGTGTTGTTAATTGTACCGTATCTTTTTATTGTAGGCCTTTGAAGCTTACAATAAATCTGAGGAATTATTCAGAAAGTGGAAAAGACAGAGCAGTGTCTTAACCTGCAAGCAAAACTTGGGACAATTAACCATGAATCAAGGGAAGTATGAGGAGGCCATTCAAATATATGAAGACTGCATGAAGGTAAGTTCTAACATCTGACAGCCAAGCCACATTTCATCTTGTGATCTATACAATCCATGCACAAAATGTACTATAAAAATTACTATCAAAATATCTGGCAGTTTAATTACACCAACCATGTCACATAGTATCTGTGAATTATATGTTAATATTATATAAATGAAACTGAAGCTACAGTTAAACTCAAAAGATTAACTGGTCCAAATATAGCAGGCAGTAAAACATTACTGCCTCTACAAATTGCCATGAGATAAAGTCAATATATATAACATATACACCTAACGTACTACAGTGTGGCAATGAGCCAGCAGCTACGTAGTGGTCAGTACTTACAGTATGTTTGCAGTGAAAATGTACCGATGACTTTCACTTTCAACAAAAACGTAAATTAAATAAAGTGAAATTAAGATTGCGAATCCTCATAATTTTACCTTGCCATTTGAACATTTAAAACTCAGAATTTTTTTCCTTATCCTGACTCTTCTTCTTCTTTGCGAACACAGTGGAACACTTGTATCTCCCAATTGAAGTTCCCTTCAATGTAAAATCACTAATTAGTACTCACCACGAGTTATCTTTCCCCTCGCAAGCGCGGGAACGAGGGCGCCACCTCCCCCATGTGCCTCACTCTCTCCTTCTTCGCCCAGTGAGCTGGACGTGAGAGCGCCTGTGTCTCCCTACACACTATATCCTTTATTTATATTTAGTTTGTTACCTCTTATATTCATCTATAGAGGTGTAACTAGTATCCTTATTCAACATGCATTGATATTTATTCGTGTTTCTGCTGCTTTATTCACGGTTCGCCGTGTTTGCTCAGCAGTTTGCGTTAATGAAAATCTGCACTGTTTGTAAATTACGTTACTCTGCTGCCGATCCGCATTTAGTATGCCCTAGTTGCATAACTCCATGCTCTATTGTTTCACACTGCAAATTATGTATTAATTTGTCTAATTCTGCCTTTGATAAATATTTATATTCCGCCTTGAGAGACGGGCGGCAGATAGATCTCGAAAACAATCTTCAGTCATGGCTAATAGATCAGAGTCAGTTATACCCTATCAACTGTTGGCGGACGACCCTCTACCGTCTGGTGTTCCGCCTGAGTTACCTTCGGGGGAGAAGCGTGGGACGCAGTCCGCTATATCCAAGAAGCGACCTGCATCCCAGGACATTCCATCATCACAGTCTAAGACTAGAAGAGCTTCCACGTCGTCTCAACGTACGCTCCGAACCCCCAGGTCTACAGCTTCGTCAAAAGGGAAATCCACGAAGGCTACTAAAAACTTTGCTTCTGACATTCTACCTGTTTCAGAATTGTGTTTATATGATGATGACATTCCGATGACATACCAGAGATGCGTACGCTGACGCCTGAGATTATAACTGAGGGTCCCATCACTATCACAGAGAGGACACCCTCAAAACCAGCGCAGACCGTCCCAGACGACCTGGTTAACCAAATCATGATGTTGATGGAAGACCGATACGGTTTACAGAATCCTCAGAGCCACGGGCCCCAGAGCCAAACCCATAATAAGTCATGTAGGGCCCCAGAGCCCGCTATGACTTCACGTAGGGCCCTAGAGCCGACAAACGCACCTCCACGAAGGGCAACCCAGCCCGTATCGAAGCCTTCGCGAAGAACGTCCCAGGCCGCCTCCACGAAAGATCCAGATCCTCACCAGTTGCGAAGGGCTTCGCGGAGGAGGAGTGCTTCACCGAGCTCACACCCTGTAGAACACAGGGTGGATTCGCGAGAAGCAGGCTCCCATATAATGATTCGGACTCTGACTCGATACCTTCCTTCCCGAGGCCATCAGGAAGGTTAAGTGGCTCCAAGTCATCTTCACCCAGAAGATCTAGAAGGGATTCATGTCGAGCTTCCGCCCGAAGCCACCAGCTGTTAAGCTGAGGAAGTCCTCTCCAAGGTCTCCCTATACTAGCCACTTTCGTCAGTCCGTTCACCACAATCTTCTCGTCGATCTTCTTACAGATCTAGGACTCCACCTCACTCTATTATATGTGATCCTCGTCGAAGAGAGGAAGAAGGTGTCATTATTCTCAGATGCAGAAATTAGATACTGGATGGTGAATGGATTGGAACTTGCTTCCCCTGATCTAAGAACGAGAACTCAGCTCATACTTATTTGATGAAGGAAGATGATCGCGGACACTATCTCCTTACCTCCTATTGACCTCGATAGCAGCGGTTCCAGCTAATCTGGATACAGCCTTTACCAAATCTTACGAAATTCCAATCAACACATTTCCGGTTTTCAACATGCAAGAAATTTGCAGGTCACAATATGGACTCCTTTTTCAAGGCTCAAGAGATTGATGACAATTTTAAGTTAATCAGTGATGCCAAGTCCAGAAATTATAGAATAGACGATCCCAAACTAGCCCAGTTGGATACCATTTCTAGGAGAATGTTTTTTGGATTGAATAGATCTAGAACTGTCAATGAAACTCTCATCACCAAGTTCAAAGATTCTACAGAGGAGGAAGATAGAATGATCTACTCGGCTCTACTCATGCAGAAAAAGAGACCATCAGTTCCTTACAGATCACTTGTCAGCTTACTGAAGCTACTACCATGGCTGGAGTCAAGGGTCTACTAGCCTCCTGCAATTGGGATAATCAATTCTGACGGAATCACTCTACGCTGCCCGTGGTCATCGCCCTTACTCTTTGGTGGTAACATAGACAAGGTCTCCAAAGAGGTGTCTAAGGACTCTAGAGAGGTGCTTATGATCAAGTCCATGGATACGTTAGCGAACGTCATTAAGCAATCATCCTTGAGATACTCTGGCAAGTCTATATTCTCTGGACTACAGAAAGCACGGGACAAGAAATTGGCTACAGCAAAAGGTCCCAGGGAATCTTTTCGTCGCCCATACAGCAATTTCAGAGGAGGATCAGCAAGAGGCAGATCATCCAGAGGTTCCCGCGGATTTAGACGATGAAATACAGGTTCGGACGACTGGAGTCTTCCATCCCCAGCCGTTCCAGTACAACCTTCTCAAGTGGGTGGACACCTTCAGCTGCACTGGGAAAACTGGGATTACTACAAGATCCTTATGTATCCAACATCCTACAGCACGGATATCAAATACAACTCAAGGCCATACCTCCTTTAACAGTCATCCCTCCAAGGTTCAACTTTCAACCGGCACAACTACCTATGTTAAGAGAAACAGTAGCTACTCTGCTAAACAAACAGGCCTTAGAAGTTCTGGATCAACGAAACATCGTACCAGGTTTCTACTTCCCAGTTTTCCTAGTGCCCAAGAAAAATTCCAAGGAAAAGTTTCGTCTCATATACAACATGAGCATCTTCAACAAAGACTATCTAAGCATCCCGCCAGCGTTTCGCATGATACACTTACCGCAACTTCGGCTCTTAATTCGTCCCAAAGATTACATGGCCAGCATAGATTTGCAAGACGCATATCTACACATTCCGATCATCCCAATTCAAGGAAATATCTAAGATTTTTCCTAGATGGGAAACATTACCAATGGAAAGTACTTCCCTTCCGAATCTCATCGCCCCTTGGGTATTCACAAGAGTGACGAAGCCTATTGTCGCATACCTACATCGTCAAGGTCTTCGCAGCGCATTTTACCTAGACGACGGGATACAAGTGGATCCAGATCCACAGCGTCTCAGACTACAGCTGAACTTTATAATCAAGTTACTAACTCAACTAGGATGGTTAGTAAATCTACTCAAGTCGGACCTAGAACCAACGCAAGATCTGCAATTTCTAGGTATACGATTTCTAACAGCCCAGAATCGTATAGTAGTCCCGGAGGACAGATGGATCAAGATCCAACAGTTAATCCCACAAGCCTTACTCTCTCCGCTACCACTACAACAGTGGCAGATCCTATTGGGACTACTCACATCAGCCCAAGACTTGACAGTCAGAAGCAGGCTTCAATTACGTCCGTTACAAGTCCTCATCAATGCGCATCTCGAGGACCCTCTACCGTTCAGTCTACCAGATCACGTCAAACCTCATCTACTCTGGTGGACCAAGAGATTGAATGTTTGCGTAGGCGTCTCCTTAATAGAGCTGGAATCGGAAACAAATCTCTACGTAGACGCGTCACTACAAGGTTGGGGAGCCCACCTCGCCTACAAGACAGCGTCAGGCCTATGGAGCAATCAAGAGAGCAAATGTCACATAAACCAACAAGGTCACCGAACCTACTGTCTCTATGTTTCCGATTATTCGATCTAATCGACAATCTAAACATACATGTCAGGGACTCAACGCGTATGCTTTCCCACCACCAGCGTTAATCCAACAAGTCTTACGGAAAATCAGTCAAACGCAGAGCCTCCATCTGATTTTGGTCGCGCCCTACTGGCCAGCAAGAACGTGGTTTCCAAATCTTATTCAAGAAATCGGACAACCAATTCTACAAGTTCCAGAACGCTCGAATCTATTGATACATCCGCACACCAAACAAGTGCACGGAAAACCAGAAGTATTCCAACTTCACATATGGATTGTATCAAGGCATGTCTGAATAAGAGAGGTTATTCAGCCAGAGCGGCAAAAACAGTCACGCTTGCACTGCGTAACTCAACTCGCAACTTATACGATGACAAATGGCACAGTTTTGTCAATTTTGCTGCAAAGAAAGGATTTACAGCCAGATATGCTACTCATACTCAAGTGGCGGACTACTTATGTTATCTACGACAAACTAAGAATCTAAAAGGCTCAACTTTGTCCACTTATCTTGCAGCAATAAGCTCTGTCATAACTATGAGAACGGGTGTCAAGCTAACCAAGACCCCAGAGTTACTCACCTTACGAGCATTCCGATTGGAGGATCAGAAACGCAGATTTCACGCTCCAGCTTGGGATCTAAATATAGTGCTCCAACACCTCACAAGTGAGGCATATGAACCGTTACAATCTACATCGTTCGAATTTCTGACACAGAAAACCTTGTTCCTGTTATCTCTAGCTACGGCT